GTCCAACACTTCAGGCAGTCATTGACTGTAAAGGATTTGCAACCAAGTATTAAAACTGACTGTTTAATTGATGATTATGTTAGTTTGTCCAAATACTTATGAGCCCTTAAAGTAGGGGGACTGTGTGAAGAAATGGTTGTAATTCCTACACGGTTCATACTACATTTTTGAAAAAAACCTTAAATGAAAGCTGAGAGTCTGCACTTTAAGCAGGTATTCATTGTTTCATTTAAAACCCATTGTGGTGGTGTACACAGCCAAAATGATGACAACTGTATCATTGTCCAAATAATTATGGACCTGACTGTATGTATCCACCTGTTTGTTTGTTTGTTTGTTTGTTTGTTTGTTTGTGTGCCCCCTTGACCTTTAGACATATCCATAGAAGTCTTCCTTCATCTCGACAGGCTCCTCCCATTCGTACCACACATTTCCGACAGCCCTGAACGCAGCATGACGCGGGGGCGCGGATGACCGAACCTCTGTTGTACGTGCAGAGAGCTGCTGTCACCGTGGAGGACTGAAGCGAGAGCACAGCCTTGTTGCGAGGCACGTTCCCGGACCTTCAGGACACATTGGAGAACCAGGACCGACTCAGTCTGAAGCTGAAGGAGATTTAAGCTGCTGCAGCTGCTCTGTGTTCACCTTTAACTGTAGCTGTGAGACCCGAGAGGACCTGGCTACCTACAGGCTGTCAAGTTCGAGTCTTTAAAGGTGTGTTTGTGCCTCCGATCATAAAGTAGGATGTTTATTTAACACCTGCATCCAACAGCAGGTCACAATAGATTAAATTCAAGTTAAAGCTGTGGGGGAATGAGATTGCAGGATGCTGTAACGTGATGTTCAAGGTTGCTGCCTGCTGCTTGATGTCTATGGGAGCTCATTTTCCAGCAGCAGTGCAGGAACTTTATCTACCCTGGGTGTGTGTTCTGTCCACCAGCCAGCTGCTACTTTGTCAACTTGCACAACATTTCCTTTATAGTGGCACACATTGCTCTCACCAGTGACATAAATGTTTATTGCTTTTGCGTGCTTATGCTCACCATGTGTTGCTCAGTAAATTTTTAAGCTATAAAATGTGAAAATAAATATATTCTGATTGACTTCAGTTGTAAACATGTGTTGGAGACGTCATGGTGCAGCCACATCTGAGATAGCATAACATCCTGACACATGGCACTAGACTCAGAGTGGTGCAGCCATGATGGCTTGTTGTAAACACCTACTAACATGGCTGCCTCAGATTAACTCCAAACTCTCTCTCTCTCTCTGTGTGGCTCCACTTTGTCACCCTCTGCCCGCTCACACTCCTGACCCCTCTCATGCCAACAGCAGACACCATGGAGGATGACCTGATGTTCAGCATGGAGGAGGAGAGCAGCGCCAAGAGGCCCCCTGTCCAACGCAGCGCCTTCAACCAGCGGGCCTCCTCCCTCAGCGATGCCAACGCCACCGACGAGGACGAGGACGAGGACCACGTCATCTGCCCCATCCTGGACGACTCCTTAAAAGAAATCTGTCACTACCTGAAGAATCTGGCTCACGAGCGGCAGCTGTCGAACTCACTTCCCAAGACCAACTTTATGTTCAAGGTGAGCCGCTGCCTTGGCAACGTGATGCCAAATGGACAGTGGAGGGGGAAAGCATCAGCGTATAATGCAATCAAGTGCTGGTTTGTATTTAGTGTTGTGATGACGTACCATCACAAACAGTTCTGCAATCCCACGAGAACAGCTCTTTGCCTTATATGGATGCCTGCCTGTGCGTGCCTGCACACACGTACTATATGTGTGTGTGTGTTTACTGGAGCAGCCACCTCTAAAGTACTCTCTCTCTAGAGAACAGGAAGTACCAGAGAGTGGCGTTCACCACATGTGATCACGCTGCATGTAAACACGTCCCTCGCTGCTCAGACTCTTTGCATCAGCAGTGAGCCAAGCCACACAAGGGCTGGATTCAGTGTCGTCAGAGCTGCTGTGCACCAGCCAACTGCTGGCATGAATGGGCATTTTAGTGTTTGTGTGGTGTTGTTGTCACGTATTTGATGCTTTTGTAAATGTCAGATATTTTGTTCTTTGTTTGCTGATGAAAAGCTGTCCGCTTTCTTTACCTTTCTACATAGAGCGAAACAGAAACTGTGGCACAACCTCGATCATACAAGGTTTTGTCTGAGAGCGCACGGGTATGTTCAGATCAAATTATATCTTCTCTGACCGCCTCCCTTCTCCCCACTCGCTCTGTAATTTACTGTCCTTTTCCTTTCCCTGTTTTTTTTACTTTTGTAGCAACATACTTTCCACTTGCTCTCATTTCCTCCGCCTCCCTTTGTGACTGATGTTTTGTTTCCCGATCAATGCACTCTCCCTCCTTCACTCTGTATTCCTGCACTTTATTTCAATTCACACTACAAAGTGTTGTACTGGTATTTCACAAAACAACATTGAGAAGTTTGCATATATTTCTGGAGGACATGTGCAAATTCTTTCGACTTTTGGTTTCAGGAAGCTATTTTTTATTATGGAAACTGCTGCTGCTGCAAAAATTTGTTTTAGAAAATGACACAAATCCTACAAAGACGTTGTAGATGGAACTCTGAGCTTGGCTGTGCCGTTCCAGGCTGCGACATTTGATCCCAAAGTCTTGTGACCGAGTTGGACACTTGTGTAGGTGGACGCAGTCTGTCATGGGGTGTGTCGTCCGCTATCCGTCACAAGCAGACACGACACTGTCACTTAAAACCACAACGTTCATGCTTCCCTTAATGTAAATCCTTTACTCTAAATATGAACATGTCTAGAAGGCCTGCAGCACAGAGAGCAGCGGTGGACGAGGGAGACGTGCTGCTGTGGAGCCCTGCCTTTTGGTTTGGGTTACTGGTGCAGGGTTGGATTACCAGTGACATTTGATTGATGGGGCCTTCGGAGAAAGTTATTTTTTTTAAAGATGGCGCAGCTGCAGATGGCCGTGAAACATCACATGGTGATCTCTTTAGTTATGGAAAGTTATTTTGGAATAAGAGACCCTGGTCGACCCCCAGATAAAACCCTGTTCCAAAAAAAAGTTAGGACACTGTGTAAACTGTAAATAAAAATAGAACTCTATGATTTGCAAATCCGTTTGACATATATCATTTGAATACAGTACAAAACATGATACACTCACTGGCCACTTTATTAGGTACACCTTGCTAGTACCAGGTTGGACCCCCTTTTTAATTCTTGCTGTCAACAAGGTGCTGGAAACATTCCTCAGAGATGTTGGTCCATATTGACATGATGACATCACACAGTTGCTGCAGATTTGAATTCTGTTTTTATGTTTTACACAGCGTCCCAGCTTTTTTGCAGTCATGATCATAACAGATTTATCGTGAGGCCTGAAACCTCTGCATTTATTGGTTATTTTAAGTGAGATTTCCACGTCACTTCAGTGATTGTGTGCTTTTTATTTCCTTGTATGTGCTGAAGCTTTTTGTGTTTTCCCTTCTTCCTTAACTTTTCTTTCCTGCATGTTTTTACAAACTCAAGACATGTGATCCCAGTTTACTTTGGCGTGCCTCTGAGTTTTGTTGATTGTAGACTTGCCTATCCGTGAGCTGATTAACTCCAAACCCTCTGAAGAATGAGGGGAAGCTGTTCTGTGCAGAAACTGTGAAATTTAATTTGCTCAATTAGTGAGAACAATACAGGCACTTAGAGGGAGAAAGGGCTGTACAGAGAGCACAAAAAGTCTTGGAATGGCTTTATCGTACAAATTGAATGTCAGGTTTGTTGCACTGGACAGCCTCCTCTCTTTCTTCTACGCTTGCCTCTGTGGAAAAAGGCCTTTCCTTTCTATGTGCATAAAGTCAAATCTGCCGGCTAATGAGCTGTGTTTGTTCATTGTGACAGGAGACATGGAAACATGCCATCGAAAAGGCCAAAGCCATGCCCGACCCGTGGGCACAGTTTCACCTGGAGGACATCGAGACTGAACCCTGCATTCGTTACAGGTACGAATGACTCGGTTTGTCTGTGAATGAAGAGTGATTTAGTGGCATCTAGCGGTGAGGATTGCAGATTGCAACCAGCTAAAACTTTTCCCGGTTATAATTCCTTCATTGTTCAGGAGTTTTTAACGGGAGCCAAATTATCCACAGAGGTCTCTTCCTCTCCAAAAGAAACAGACCTGGTGATGCAAACTGGTAAAAACACTGAAGCAGTTTCATGTTAAAAAATCAGTGTTTTTCCGACGTTCCCATCTAACTACGTAGACCGACATGAACACACCAATGTCCCTATCTAGAGCCAGTGTTTGGTTTGTCTGTTCTGGACTATTGTAGAAACACGGCGGTCTGCGTGGACAAGGACCAGCTCCAGGATATAAATGGCTCATGCTCAGGGTGCTTTCAGACCTAGAGTTGTATTGCTTTGGTCTGAATCAGGAACGAATGTTGTTCCAAAGTTGTATAATTGCCTAGAGTTGGTTCGTGTTCTCATGGCAGCATTTACAAGTGGACAAGATCAAATGCCTTGTGCAAGAAAGCTGCTCTTGATTGGTCAGAATTTCCATGTGGGAAAAATCCAGGAAGTAAAGCAAAAGTTGAAGAAGAGTACACTTGCAAGATAAATGTGACACTTTCTAATGTCACAATGGAGGGACAACTACGCAGGTTGATTTTAGCGCTGCTCATCATGGACTATATTGCTGTCATTGTTCATTTTAGTCAAACCATACAGTTTGAAAACGAGGCGCGGCTCCAACTAGAAAACAATGTTTTGATGCATTGGATGTGCTGAATGTGCATATTAAGGCAGTACAGGAGGAGGTGCACATTAATAATCCTCCAGGACTGTAACATGCTCATGTTTAACCCAAACAATGTGTCATGTGACTGCAGTTGGTTCAGATCCAGGTCGGAACACATTGGTTTGTAACTGGACCGAGACCACCTCTTTAAGAAGGTCTTGGTCCAGTTGTTTTGATGCACACTTGAGTGCGATCGCTGTGTTCACACCTGCCCAAACAAACCGCACTTAGAGAGCAAACAAACTTGAGTTTGATTGAACTGGACGATTCTTATTTTCAGGTGATTATACACAGAAAACATCCTTATCATATTACATTTCCATTTCGGCCAATATATCCTCCTAAATCCTACACACTGGACCTGTAAGCATCCCAGTAAGCCATGCCATCGATTGGGTCAGCATGCTTGATATAGATTACGTTTTGGGCTGGGAAACCAAAACAATCAGCTGAAAGATGCTAAAACACTCCACTGTGGTGCTAAAAGCTCTACACTCTGCAGAGAGACTGCAGAGCTGGGTGATACATCTCTGGGGTTTCACTCACTACTACAATTACACAGTCATCTGACCCCTTGTTAATCTAAAAATATTGATAAGACTGTCAATAAAGCATAAATATAAGATATATATTAGTACTCGCTCTGAAACATTCCTACACTGATATCAGCCTGCAGTGGTCTTGAACTTTCATTGACATGGCAGCGGGTTTCACAGGCGGCTCATATCTGGGTCAGTGGTGCTAATCTTAACTGTTGACAAACATCACTCCCCTTTCACTGGGAACATTGACGCCCCTTTGCCCACCCAGTATTTTTTTTTTAATCTCATAACACAGGAGGGGCGGTTGAGTGTGCGCCCAGATATTAAAAACCAACATGGCAGCTGGCTACAGAAGCGCACACACCTCCCGCAGAGCTCTCATACGTGGGCAGCGTTATATAAAGGCAGCCACACATAGATAGAGGGGGTGTGGGCAGAAAAAGCAGCAGGACAATGAATTCCTTTGTCTGTGTGTGTGTGTGTGTGTGCGCGCGCTAGGCCTGTTACGCAACAATCTGTACAGGACTGGACTTGGCCCTAGAGAGAGGAGGGATTGTCAGGAGCTGGGATTCGCCCTCGTGTTCTCCTTTCGTGTGCTAATTTTACCCGTGTGTAACCTTATTCGTCCTTCCCTCTCTTAAAGCCCCCTGTAGCCTGAACTAGAAGGAATGACGGTACACGGTGTTCTCAGGCCGAAGCAATGTGTTGGCAGAGGAGATTTTGGATGGGGAGCAGAGTGGTGCTCCTGTTTGAGTGGTGGAGGAACAGTTAATGCTGAGTTTCTAGTTTAAAGGTGTTTCAGATTTCAGCTGTGAAGACTTGGAGCTGCACGTATGGTTCATGCAGTATTCATTAACTCAGGGAAACCTGCCCAGCACAGCCGAACAGACACACTGACCCAGACATACAGCGTGTGTGCACACACATTCATATCGCTGTGTTTACTGTGTGAGCTTTTCCCTGATTACAATTCCTTTAATCCACAAAGAAATGGGTGCAGGCATAATGGGTTGTCTTTGGAAAGAGGACACACAGCTTCTCTTGTCATTTCTCTGTCATTGTTTTTCTCCATAGAGAGGAAGTGACATGCTTTAGTGCCTCCATGATAAGAAGTGACAATGAGCTTTGACAGATGAACTCTCTCGCAGAGGGCAAAGAGTAACTTGGCCAACGTGATCGAGACTGGAGGGTTTCTGCGCTCCTTTAGTTGCTGAAGTTGACTCAAAAGAGAAGAAAGAGTCCAGGCCACCAGCTCAGTGTTGTAGACCATCCAGTGTGGGTGATTTCTGCTTGAAACGAGACGCTGTTATAAAGAGCTGCAGCTTCAAAATTTTGATGGATATTAAGCTGCAACTAAAGATATTTTGTCTTTTTTTAAATTTTGTCTTCATGGCTATAAAAAGTCATAAAAACAATGAGAAATTGCCGTCGTCATTTTCCAATTTTCCCAGAGCTCTAGAGTACATCTGCTGATTTCTTTGTCTTGTACAACCAATTAGGGCTGGGCGATATGAGATCCATCTCATGCTCCATTCTACCCTCACTCGTGAACAAGACCTTGAGATGGTTGAACTCCTTCGCTTGGGGCAGTAACTTACTCCCAACCTAAAGGGGGCAATCCACTGGTTTCCAGCAGAGAACCATGGCCTCAGACTTGGAGGTACTGACTTTGATCCCAACCTCTTCACACTCAGCTGCACAACACCTGAGTGCATGCTGGAGGTCACGGTGTGATGAAGCCAACAGAACCACATCATCTGCAAAAAGCAGAGATGCAATTCTGAGGTTCCCAAAAAAGTCTGCTACTAAATTCTGCGTCATGTTTCACTCTGTAGAAGTCTGATTTATTAAGTCAGCGGTGCCAAACCGTAGATCCATCTCACACTGCATTCTACCCTCACTCTTGAACAAGACCCCGAGATACTTGAACTCCTTCGCTTGAGGTAGCAACTCTACCCCAAAACAGAGTTGTAATCTGCCGGCAAAGCTAAAGATGTTCAATAAAAACAGTGTTTAAAAAAGGAGTACCAGCCAATCACAGCAGAGTAGGGTGTTCTTCGGTTGTATAAAACTGGGTGGTTGGCTACCTAAAATTATGTATCCAAGCCCGGGCTACTAATTGAAGTTTTACAGGAATTCACTTTCCCTCTTCGCAGGTACAATGCCATCACAGGAGACTGGGCTGAAGACCAGATCTACATCAAGATGGGTGCCCAGGTATTACTGCTCTCTAAATTATTTATTGTTCTGCCAGTATTTTAAAGAATGTTTCTAATATCTCGTCTTATTTATTTCCCACAGCCGTTTGGGAAAGGGGCCATGAGGGAGTGCTTCAGAACGTAAGTTGAAATATTTCTCCTCATTCATCAGTTCTCTTCCAGCGGTTATTGCCCTCGGGTTCTAGTATCAGTGTAAACAAGTCAGAGTGTGCCTCTCGTAGGCTATAAGTGGTGCAGGTCCACATTCCTCGCATGTCTCTCTCCGACTCTGGAGAATTGCTGCAGACAAATCCAGTAGTTTCAGACCCAAAGATGGTAAGAGAGTATCACACTGAACCACCTCTGTGGAGTCTTCTGTGATGCCACCGAGTTTTTAACCCATTTGATTCCCTGGATGTTTACTGTTTGGGGTAAAATTGAATTTAAGCGTATGGTGTTTGACGGCTGCGCTGTGTTTCGGCTTCTGCATGAGGTTGCAGAATGAAAGAGAAAGGGATAATAGTCTGATTGTTCATGTGTAATCCTCAGCTATGTGGGAAATGTAGAAGAGAGGCATCCATCAGCCCCCCACTTCAACTTCAACAGAAGCCCTAAGTAAAAAAAATCCACTCTGACAAAAACCAGAGCATGAAAACAATTCCACGTGCTCCTGCAAGTTAAAAAAAGAACATCTCTACATCTGAAATGTGGTGTGTTGTTGCTGTCGTACAGCAGTTCCAGTTGATGCTATAATCAAAAATGGCTTCAGTTCTGTATGAAGTTTCTTAGCTGTGGGTTTACTGTGAATATATTTAGATGTAACTGAAATGCTGCTGACTGCTGTAACATCTGATTTCCCTCCAGGAAGAAGTTGTCCAATTTCTCGCACAGCAGCAACTGGAAGTCAGCGAGTAATTATGTGAGCAAGCGTTACATGGAGACGGTGGACAGAAGTGTTTACTTTGAGGACGTCAGGCTGCAAATGGAAGCCAAGCTCTGGGGAGAGGAGTACAACCGCCACCGACCTCCCAAACAGGTACAGGAGGAACAGTTACAATACACTGATGTGCTGACGAGTTCACAGGACAGACAGTCACTGACAGGTCTGTACTTCGTGTGTGTGTGTGTGTTGTTTACTTCTCTCTGATCCTCAGGTGGACATCATGCAGATGTGTGTGATAGAGATGACAGAACGACCAGGTAAACCTCTCTTCCACCTGGAGCATTACATCGAGGGCAAATACATCAAATACAACTCCAACTCTGGCTTTGTGAAGGACAGCAACATCCGACTCACTCCGCAGGTGAAGCAACATCACCTTTTGTTGTTAATACGTGATAAAGGTAATAATCACTTCATAGATATAATTTATTTTGTATCCACCAGGCCTTTAGTCACTTTACGTTTGAGCGTTCGGGCCACCAGCTGATCGTGGTGGACATCCAAGGAGTGGGAGATCTCTACACTGACCCTCAGATCCACACAGAGCAGGGGACTGACTTTGGAGACGGAAATCTCGGTACAGTTCCCTTTTGATACTGACAAACTGCTTCTCGATGGTTAGAAGTTATTTAGGAGGCTCCATCTTGATCATGCCTGTGTTCCAGGTGTGCGAGGCATGGCACTGTTCTTCCACTCCCACCTGTGTAACAAGATCTGCAAGAGTATGGGCTTGACACCTTTTGACCTTTCCCCTGCGGAGAGGTCCCAGCTGGATTGCACCAACAAACTTCTTGTAATTTTGACATTTTATTAATAATAAATACAGTGTCAGCCAGGGCCAGAAATCAGCTGTGGGTCAGGGTAAAAACAGTTCACAAAATTATGATAATAATAAAAAATAAAAGGAAAAAATGTCCCTGAGAATCCCCTAAGATTTATTGCATTTCATGTTGTTCACAGTTGTCATATTTAGGCATTAATGTGGCTGCTGTGTCATATGGAGGACAAAAATAACGTAAGCATCAATAAATATAAATAAATACATAAATAAATATGTAATAAATAAATCTAAAACAAAATACAGGAATACATAAATAAATGAATAACTGTATAAATAAATCTATAACAGACTACAGAAATAAATTAATAAATAAACAAATATTTAATATATAAATAAATCTGTAACAAAATACTGGAATAAATAAATATGAAAAGAAATTAAATCTATAACAAAATACAGGAATAAATTAATATGACAATAAATAAATACATTTATAACAAAATACAGGAATAAATAAATAGATATGTAATAAATAAATCTATAACAAAATACAGGAATAAATAAATGCTGAAATAAATACAGAAATAAATAAATGTAGCTGAACAAATATGTATAATAAATGTAAGATATTTATTCATTTTTGTTCTGTTTAATTTATCTGTTTATATATTCCTGTATTTATTTATTTATACATTTATTTATTCATTTATTGATACTTAAGGGGTTTTTTTTGTCCTCCATAGTCCCCTGGCTTTGGGATCTTATTTCCTGTAAGATCATTTGTTTTTTAAAACAACTGAATACGCAGCCTAAAATAGTATAAAAAAAGTGTAAAGGATAAAGAGCATGCTGTATTATGATTTTAACATAAAATAAATCTTATTGATAGAATTGCAGTCATGCCATAGTTTCCCAGAGCTGGTACCTTTCCTTTTCTCCTGTGAGTACTCACTTTCTAACTCGCAGGATTAACATGAGAAGGATGCATTGACCTTATCTTTAGTATATTCTGGTTGTTTTGTTGCTGTTTCCTCAAGATAGATTGATCTCTTTTTATTTCAGAAGTCAGCCAAGACAGTGCTGAGGGGCTGCGAGGAGGCCTGCTCTCCTCGCGTTCGCACTATGTCATGGGGCCGGGCACCTCCACTGTTATCCCGCCTGTCGGAGACGTCCTCTGTGGACGAGAACATGAGTGACTCGGAGTCTATCCCCTGCTCCCCTCTCACAATGCCCTGCTCCCCGCTAGCTTTATCTGGATCTGTGGGAAAGTCCTCCATGGGTACATCCATGAACATTATTATTACATGCTGCACGTTCATAACAGTATATTTGAACGTAGTGAAGCGTGGTGTCCACATTGACAATAGTTGTGTATAATTTCTGCATTTTACAGGCTCATCTTTCACTGGGATGTACGAACATGAGAGACTCAACAACCACAACACAGGTGAACACAAGGTGAGCAAAGAAATCTGTGTATGCGACTTAAAGCAGCACAGAAAAGTGACGCTGTGTCACATTTATCCAAATATTCTCCCATGACCAGATTGTTGCAGTTAAGTCAGCACACCTCAGGTCCATGTTGAGTCCCAGGAGCTCCATGTTTGCTAATATCATGTCCCAAATCTATTTTTTTTTTGTCTTTTTATATTACGTTTTTTATCTTTAAAATACAAAATGCATGTATTTCATATTGTCGACAGATCAGATGGAACAAACAGCAAACAAAACCACAACCTCTGTGGCAGGTGTCATGAATTGCCACGATGAAACAGGATAAAAACCATAAAATAGAGACACTAGAACTGGAAATATAATATTGGATCACATTAATGAAAGACATTTTTCAGATTGTTTTATAAGTCTTGTCTCTTTGAATTTCTTAAAAGCTGAGCAGCTGCAGTTTGAACCAGCTGATGGTGTTTTATTTGGCTTAAACCCTGAATACAATGAACTGCAATAATAAATATGACCTCCGCAGTATCAGCGTGAGACAGGAAGGTCTTGATTGTTGAGATGCTCCTCAGCTCGAGGAAACATGTTTGAACTTTGAGCATCAGAATCTGCCACGAGTCACTTTGCTGATTTATTTCATTTATGTCTGTCTATAGGAATCTGACAGCGGCGGGGACAGTGGCTACCCCAGCGAGAGGAGGAGTGAAGGCGACCCAAGTGACCACGTAGACGGGGTAAGGATTTCCATCTGACTTTTGTTTGGATTTAATTTTGGCCAGAAAACAATGTCCAGGATTTTAAAAATGAGTTGATAACCCTTGAGATAAACCATGCCAGAAATGTATTTGTGTATGTCTGACATTTACCAAGTTATGGAGGGCGAAAATTGACTTAAAGGGATGGTTTGCCAATTTTTAACCAGGTCTGTGTCACTGCCGTGTGGGGGTTGAGTGCAGATGGACAGTGTTAAGGTGCCCCTCTTGGCGCCAGCTCCCGGAGCTCCCCGCCCATCAGCTAGCCAAAATCTGCTATAACATGTCCTCCGTGACGTTAAACGATGCATTTGTTGTCATCTGGTGGATTATTTGCTCGAGGGTCGCCTCAACAGCGTCCATCTGCACACACTCCCTACACCGCTGTGACACAGACCTGGTTGAAAATGGGCGAAGTATCCCGAAATAAATATAAAACTTAAAACAGAAATAAATAAATGAAGAAAGTGAACAGAAATGTAAAAATAAATTTGAGATATTTTTTTATTCAGGTCCTGTTTAACCATTGACTTTTATTTATTTATTAATTAATTAATTTATTAAATTTACTATTTATAGTTATATTAATTAATTATATTTAAGCATTTACTTATTTTATTTTAATTATTTATTTCCGCACTTATATATTTATTTCTGTTCAGTATTTATTTTTACTTTTTATATTTAAGTCCTCTTTTGTCCTCCATACCAAGTGTAAGATAAGATATTTAAGATATGCTATAGCTTGTCTGAATAATGTAATTGTGTTCACATTAGATTTACAAGAAGAAATACATTTAGCCGAGGTGTTTTTTAAAACATTTTTAAGACACATTTATCAGTATATTCTGGTATTTTATCCTATGCCGGGTTCACACTACACGATATCAGCCTGATTATAGCCCGACGCAGCGACGTACAGTGTCGGCTCGGATCATGTTGAGTGTTGTACGCAGTAATCCATCGTTTCATCTCTTGTAGTGTGTCATGGTTGACGACAACGGACGCCAAATCTGGGATGCCTCAGGACATTCCAACAGAAAGTCTAGCATGTTTGATTTTTGTTTTTGTCATTTACGACTTCTCCCGTCACAGCCATCACTTTGTCCAATAGGAACACCGAGCGATCTGCTGCCGTGGAAAACTGTACAGCAACAACACCACAATCTTTTTGATGTTTCCTCCATGGATGTTAAAAATGATGGGGTGAAACAACAGAGGCACTTTAGCAATCTGCTGAGTACTGCCATTAGCATCAAGCTAGCAAAGAATGTTGTTTCTTCATAATGGTTATAAAGTAATAAAATTAAAAAATAGTGGTGGGGCTTTTACTCACCACAACTGCAGAGGCTACCATCTTCATTTGAAACAGACTACATTAGAAACGGGACGATATTTATTATTCCCTCTGTATTTTTACTTTTCATAATGTTAATGTGTTGCACCGTCAATTCAAGCGCAACACTTCCTGTATCCGTTTAAAATCAAAAGCTTCTTATAAATTCAATTGAGAGAATTATATTCTTAAAACGTTAGCGAGTTAGCTTGCTAAGTAGATAGGCTATGCTAGCAAGTAAGCTTGCTAATAGGCTAAAATGTTAGTGAGTTAGCTTGCTAAGTACATAGGCTATGGTAGCAAGTAAGCTTGCTAATAGGCTAAAATGTTAGCGAGTTAGCTTGCCAAGTAGGTGGGCTATGCACAACATTATCCTTACTCTTAATGTTTATTAACAAAATTTTAGCCTATTGGCAAGCGTACTTGTTAGCATAGCCTACTTACTTAGCAGGCTAATTCGCCAATATTTTAGCCTATTGGCAAGCGTACTTGTTAGCATAGCCTACCTACTTAGCAGGCTAACTCGCCAACATTTTAACCTATTGGTAAGCTTAATTGTTACTTGTTAGTGAGAATTCCTTCCTTTTTATTGTTAAACATTTGTAGGAACTTGTTGTGGAGGATTCAGTGACTTAAGTAGTTTGCGTACGGTACTTAAAATCTAGGTCCTGCCATCTGGTGGCACTTTTTAATGTTACTACAACAACATTTCGGCTGGGACGTGAACGACACAGTGACTGAAATAATAGTAATGATAATAAAAATAGGACAAGAATAACCCGATGACATTACACACGTAGTGAAAGACGACCAGCGTGTAGTTTGTCATGTCTGTCAACCAAGTCACGGCACGATTTTATGACTCCGCCATCGCCTAGTCTGACATAGTGACTGTCGGAACAGACAAAAATGTTGTGTAGCGTGAACCAGGCATTAAACAAACATGTTTTTTTGTAACGATTATTAAACCCTGACATGTTGGACTTCTCTTGTGACTGTAGTTCCCTCTCTGTCCTTCAGTCCTGTCAGTAGCTGTTAGTCTGTTAGCATTTCCTGCTCTCCACATTCACCCTGACTGTCTTATGAATGCATGTTGTATCATCACGTAGGCCCATCACCGCAACCAAAGACATTACTCTGAGTCGGATGAGGACAGTGTCAGACGGGTAAACAAACATAGAGACAACAGTGTGTGAACGTTGTAATCATCATCAACATCACTCCTCGTCCTTGCCCTTCCTCACTTTGTCTATCCCCTGTCTTCTCATCACTGGATAACAATAGTTGTTCCTCACGTTTCCTCTAATTCAGCTCCTCCTACTCTCTGTGTTCCCTCATTAGAGGAAGATGGTAGCTCCTCCAAGAGTCTCTGCAAACTTAGATTGTATCAAAGCTGACAACGACGGGGTGATTACTTGCATGGCGGCTCATAAAGCTGGCTGTTTCCCTGCTGTCTGCTGCTATAAAGCTTCAGCAAGAATGATTCTAAGGTTAATTTGATTATACAAGCTGCCGCTGTTCCCACGTCCACTACTCTTTTAATTTCAGAGGGACAGAAAACAGTCGGAAAAGGCAAACTACAAACAAATAAAAAACGACATTTGGAACTGAAACACCATCTACCTCTGATTCACCAACGCCGCCATCTTGCTAATAATGATACATCTGTGTGTGTGCTGCTGTTTACATGCTTGACATGATTTTTCCATATGGGATGTGCTCCTCCAGCTCTGAGCCGAAGGCTAATCATTTATCAGTTTAACTGATAGCGGACTCTTCTGGAGGGGTACACCCCTGACAGTGTGATTTGTGAACTTGCACTTGATTAACCTGCATCGTATGATTTGTTTTCTGATTGTTGTGAAGAGCAGGTGGTGACAATCTCCCTCCATCAATCCTTCTCCTTCCTGTATATCTCCACTGTCTTTTTTCCACTCAGATGACGGAGGAGAGTTGGAGCTTCTTCCATTCGTCTCGTGCTCACGTCCACCGATCCTCCTGTGTGGCCACTGAGGTGGAGCGGATCAACACCCTGCTGCAGAAGAAGATTGGCCAGTCGATTCTCGGAAAGGTAAAACATCACACTGGCTGATCTGAGATAGATAGATAGATAGGTAGATAGGTAGATAGGTAGATGGATAGATGGATAGGTAGGTAGGTAGATGGATAGATGGATAGGTAGGTAGGTAGGTAGATGGATAGATGGATAGGTGGATAGATGGATAGGTAGGTAGGTAGATGGATAGCTTGATAGGTGGATGGATGGATGGATAGATAGATAGATATGTAGATAGGTAGGTAGGTAGGTAGGTAGGTAGGTAGGTAGGTAGGTAGGTAGGTGGATGGATGGATAGATGGATAGATGGATAGATAGATAGGTGGGTGGGTGGATGGATGGATGGATGGATGGATGGATGGATGGATAGATGGATAGGTAGGTAGGTAGGTAGGTAGATAGATAGATAGATGGATAGATAGATGGATAGATGGATGGATAGATGGATGGATGGATGGATGGATAGATGGATAGGTAGGTGTAACAGTTATTGCACAAAGTCTATTAAGGCACCGTGGGTGGGTAAGGTGGGGGGTGGCAGTTCTTTGGTGTTGGTAGTGTGTGTGTGTGTGTGTGGATGTTGCCCACCGTGATAACAAATATCCCTTATCAGGACTTTAGCTTTCTGTACAATCCACCTGTTGCTGCAGACAGCTGGTTTTCAACATTAGATTCCTTTTCTTAAAATATATTCTCGCTGTCCTTCCTCCTCAATCAGGTCCACCTGGCGATGGTGCGCTACCACGAGGCAGGTCGATTCTGTGAGAGGGACGAGCAGTGGGATCAGGACTCAGCCATGCTGCACCTGGAGAGAGCCGCTCTGTGCGGAGAGCTGGAGGCCATCATAGCCTTGGGACAGTGTTGTATGCAGCTGCCTCATCACATACTGCCTGACGTAGAGCTGGAGGTACCACACAGTTTATTTAGCCCTTTGGTTTTGTACAGCGTGATCACGCTCGTGTTCTAATATGTGGTGTTGTTGGCAGGATAACGCAGGAAACAGGATGAAAGGGTTCAAGTATCTGCTGCTGGCTGCTGAGGCTGGTGACAGATCTTCTATGATCACAGTGGCCAGAGCCTTTGATACTGGGATCAATCTGTCAGCTGACAGGTCAGTGGAGGTTATTATTACTATATCTAACCTGTGGAAGTTTGTCTGTGGGTAAAGATACTCCTGGTCCAACAGTCATGATAATACTGCCCCCTACAGGAATTTCTAGACACATTCATTAAGGATGCAAGATACTTTTGATGCTAGAGTGTTTTTGCATTATTTTTTAATTAACATTATTATTATGAATTATCCAGGAAGCAGGACTGGGAGGAGGCGATTCATTGGTATGACAGTGCATTGAACATGACCGACTATGACGAGGGGGGAGAGTTCGATGGGACGCAGGACGAGCCTCGCTACCTGCTGCTGGCCAGAGAGGCAGAGATGTTCCAAGAGGGAGGACACAACCTCAAAGCAGACCCACAGAGAGCAGGTACGGCTCCACGCTGGCTGTACAGACTTCACTGTGCATATCCTTAAGGAAAATCTGCCCCGTGGAGGCTTGAGATACGTTTGTAGGTTGCTTCTTCACTGATGCAGAGCAGTTACAGTGGATTCTTTAAGTGTTAACTCAGATAAAGAAACAGAGACTTCTCAAAGCACTCCTGCAGCATTATCCATGTGTCCATTAATGATGCATACATCCAGTATTTTTCCAAAAACTTCCCACAACATGGCTAAATACACTCTTTGCGTCTCATGCTCCAGCCTCCTTATTATGGATGACGGAAAAGACTTAAGCATTAAAAAAATGAATAAATGAATGTATAAATAACACAGGAATAAGTAAATAGAAGAATTAATAAATACATAATAAATGTGGGTGAACAAAATTTGTGGAGATTTTAATTTTTAATTATTGATTATTTTTAATTATTTTTCCTACATATACCTAATATTTATAATTAGGATTTTTTATTTGTCGAGTTTGATTTTATGACCTATGGATACATTTCCGCTTGTTTTTTTTTTTGTTTGTTTGTTTGTTTTTAACTGCATCTTCTAAGGTGTCTGAGTGCTTTGAAAGGTGCCTATAAATTCAGTACATTATTATCATCATCATCATCATCATTATTATTATTATTATTATTATTATAGAATATCATTATAATAATATTAATATTCTATAATAATAATTCTATCTAATAATTCTTAATTCTTTATTTTTTAATTTTATGTAAGCATTTATTTAGTATTTATTTATTTATTTATTTATTTGTTCCTGTATTTACTTATACATTTATTTATTATATATTATACTGAAGTCAGTTTTCATCCTCCATACCTCTGAAGCTCTGCTGGAAAAAGTGAATTTAGCAATTTTTTGCAATGCTAATTTACCAGTTGCAGCACTCAGCCCCAAGTCCATTCATTCTTACTGAAGACACAAATATTTAAGACTGATTAAAAACATATAGTAAGGTATTTTTAATAGTAAACAAACGTGAGTAAATTGTGAATTTGCATTTGGGGCTATTTTCAGCTGCAGATTAATCCAAATTTGATGCTGTATTGAATTGTTTTGGGAAAAAGTGAAGTATCACCAGACCTACTAACTGGATTTATTTGCTGATTCTGTTTTATTTAAATTAATTAATGTGTTAGTTAATGCAGATAATTGTCTTTGCCCGTGTCCTAACCTCTTCTACCATCCCTCCCTGCAGGCGATCTGTTTACAGAGGCAGCAGAAGCTGCTATGGAGGCCATGAAAGGTCGACTGGCCAACCAGTACTACATGAAAGCTGAGGAAGCCTGGGCGCTAATGGAGGAATAATTCTGGACATTTTTATTATAAATCAAAAGCCACGGGAGTTCATGTGTCTGACTGATATAGCCAGGCCAGTTTACATATTTTTTTATTACAGGTTTTTTGCCAATGGTGCTGTGTGTGCATGTGTGTGTCTCTCCTCTTTAATTTCCTGTCTCTGACCCACTTTTTGACAAAGTCAATGTGGTTGTATGAAAGAGAAAGCCTGACCTATCAAAACTAAGAAAATGGTTTACTTTCTTTGCCCTCAAAGTTATGTTGGAGGAATGTATGTATAAAAAAATGGTTGAAGTATGAAGCTATTAAATAAAGTTTGCTTTTTATCGGTAAATACTTGTCATTATTCCCTCCTGGATTTTCTCTCCAGGAGACAAGAGCTCTGTCATTAAAGATCTGTTTCTGTTGAGTCGCTTCAAATAACAATAAAAATTTAAGCTATTGATTATTACTCTGGAGCTCTCAGAGGTGAGGTCGCATCTTTGGATGTTATATAACAGATAGTTTTCTTTATAAACATGCTGCGTGGCATAACAAATTCATTTCAAAACCAAAATTCAACCACAACACTTCACACATCTCTGTGTCAATTCTAACTTTGAAAATGTTTAAACTCTGTCACTCATAACCTGATAACCTAAAAACAGAATGAACATGCTATCATACAGTAATGCTGCAGAAACACGTAAATGTCCTTTGTTCAATATGTCTTATTTTGTCATTTTTACACATTAATTAATTCCAAAATGCACCACATGAAACTCAAGTACTTTGTTAAAGGTTCAATGTGTAGGATTTAGTGGCATCTAGTGGTGAGGTTGCAGAACTGAAACTTCTGTGTGCTAAGCCTGTAGGAGAACTTCAGTCACGAAAAATGCAAATTACCTTACCAGTGTTTGGTTTGTCCGTTCTGGGCTACTGTAGAACAACTTGGTCGACTCTGTAGGAGAGGACCCGCACCATATGCAGATACAAACAGCTCATTCTAAGGTAACAAAAACATAACAATTCTTATTTTTAGGTGGTTATAAACAAAAGAACATGATGGATTACTGAATGAAATTTCAGGCATAGCCCACGGGAACCAAAATTTCAGGGCACCTCAGCCCCTCACCTGCAAAATGTCACGAGATACAATGATTCAACAGAGAAGAAATGTTGAAAACAGGAGGCGCCTATGACGTCTTCTAGTTCTGATGGATTTTATTCGGGTAAGTCGATTTGTTTAAATATTTTGACGCTGTGTTCAATGGTTGCTGATGAGTTTACGCTTGTCCAACCATCTGTTGTTTGTATAGCCTACATTCCGAATGCACAGTAACAAATTGTTTTCCAAATTTGCTGAAGTTGCTGACTTCGCAAGGTTTCAAATTTCTGGCCTGTTCCAGTACCCACACATCCCTGGAAATACCCACTTGCACTTGGTTGTGCATGTTCACGCTGAGGCTAGTGGTGTCCCAAAACAGAATTGAGGTAGTGGAAGTGGTTTCCAACACTTAAAACCTGCCCTAGATTCCAAGGGAGCCCCGATCCACACTTTCAACAAAGTGGAAGATGAAGTCAGCAACTTCGGAAAGTTTTGGAAAACAATTTGTTGCTGTACGAATGGAATGTAGGCTATACAAACAACAGATGGTTGGACTAGCGTAAACTCAACAGCAACTCGGTTGAACACAGCGTCAAAACATTTAAACAAATCGACTTACCCGAACAAAATCGATCAGAACTAGAAGATGTCGTAGGCGCCTCCTGTTTTCAGCATTTCTGCTCCGTTGATTCATCAGATGGAGAAGAATAAACATAGCACTTGCCACAACACAAGCACTGGAGCCGGCATTTTCATTGCGTCGCTACTACGCGTGACGTATGCCTGCACGTCGGCCACGCCGATTTGCATGAAGTGGTGTCTCATTTCTAAGGCAAAGATCTCTACCCTAATATTCCTCATTTCCTTCATCAAGGGCACTTGAAAGTGTGGGTCGGGGCTCCCTTGGAATCTAGGGTGGGTTTTAAGTCTTGGAAACCACTTCCACTACCTCAATTCTGTTTTGGGACACCACTAGCCTAAACGTGAACGCGTACAACCAAGTGTAAGTGGGTATTACTAGGGGAAGTGTGGGTATTGGGACAGGCCTGCTTGGGCTCTACTTAAGTTAACATCTAGAGGAGTTACTCCGAATATTGCCATGGATATAGATGGGGCAACCAGCCATCCAAACATTGGTGAAAAAGTTTTAAATATTAAATCCCAGAAAGGAAGCAGCTTCGGACATGAGTTTTTACACCTGTCGCACGTAGGATCAGTATCACGCTAATCTCAGCCAACCATCTCTGGACCAGTGGAGTCAGTGTATAATCTTGAATTGAACAACAATGTACAACCTCGTCCGATACCTGCTCTCCAGTGTCCTCCTCCTGCCTCTGCTTTTAAGGGTCCAAATCTGCAAGATTATGAACAGAATCTAAGAGGAATGGACCAGGGTAGTTTGCCACTGGTGCAGCAAGTGAAGGGTGGGTTTGCCCTTTTCAAGGCCATATATAGCAAATGGCACTGTCTTTAATTTAATGAGAGCTCTTCTTAGAACACAGGCATATCTTAAACAAGGGCCCATTCTCCACCCGACACATACAGATAGGAAGGATGTAGATGGTAGAGAACTGAAATGTAAAATCACCTGGACTCTCCATTTTCATTAAGAACCCTAAATTAAATAAGTGTTACGTTGGATTTTTTTTTACTTTACAATCCTAATGGTGCATGTAAACATAAAGTGCAAAATGCAGGGAGTTCAGGAGCTTGTGTTAAAGAAATTAAAAGTTGTCCTCAGCTCACTCCACATCATGATGATCATGGTAAGAGATGATGATGAAGTAAATGTTGAAAAATTCCTGTAATGAACTGTGAGCCATAAAATTCATGTAATAGTAAGCACACTACTATTGAATATTATGACGTGGTCTATGGGTATGTAGTCACACGGTAGCGTGGCCGAGCGGTCTAAGGCGCTGGATTAAGGCTCCAGTCTCTTCGGGGGCGTGGGTTCGAATCCCACCGCTGCCAGTGACTTTTTGTAGTCTCCCCTTCTGTGTATGATAAATGTAATTGAACCAAACACATACACGAAGCTCCTCTGCACCTTCTAAATCAAGTGGAAACAAATAGGAAAACACAGCTGTGTGGTGGTCTCGCTGTGCATTATGGGCACGGGCTCCTCCCCACGTGTCTGTGTGGAGCTCAGTCAACATGGTCTCGACACAGACAGACTTCAGCTGCCTGAGTTAGACTCCACTCCTGCACCGTCTCTCTCCACACTTCTGTACAGCTCAGACACGGATGAGATAGCTAAAACTGTACCGTGAAGTGCGCAGGTGAGACCTTAATCTATTCCCGGTGCCCTTTTAGCAGAAGTGACGTGTAAAAACAGGCCGTTTGTGACTCGACTGTGGTATTTTGACTTGCATGTGTATGTTAGCACGCCGAGCTAGCTTGCTAATGCTAGCCAGGCTAGGCTACGTATCACTGGCTAGCTAGCTTCGTTGCTAATACGTTTGCGTGTACGAACTTTAAGCGTTGAGCTTGTTGGTCTCTCTCTTGCTATATTTGTTTATAGGTTTGTATTTATTATGTTAAAATGATAAAATGAACCCGCAGTGTGTCCCAGGCCTGTGATAACTGCTGGAAGGTTTGTGGCTAGCATGCTAATCAAGCTAATGCAGCTAGTAACATAGCTTGTATTTGCTAATTATTGCCTGTAATGAGTGTTTGAACCACCTGGAGTTCATGTTAGAGTTTAAGCTATATGCTACATGTGCTACACAGTGTGTTCATTAGCAGCAGGCATTTAATGTTTATTGCATTGTCTTGCATCATGTGAGGTTTACCTGGCTGTGTCAGTGGTAGCATCACTTGACAGACTGCATGATCATGGTCTGGTTGTGGGCTAACTTTGGCTTTCATGGTTTGTTTTCTGGTGTGGGTGGATTTAATACAGAGCAGGGGCTACTGCAGATCCCCTGAACGCTGACAACCTTGAAACAAAACAGAAATGAATGCTGGTGTTGTCTTAAAATGCTGAATCACACTGATCATGTTGTCTGTCATGCAGTTTGGGTGTAACCACTTGGCAACAATGTTGTGTAGCTGTACAGTGAATTCCTGTAAGTCAGTGTTTCTTTGTCTCCAGGTTGGATCTTTGAGATCTGCTGCTCCTGTTTCATCTCCTCTCCCCTCCTCGCTCTGTTCACACCAATATGGCCAGCGGGGATGATGACGACCCCATTATAGAGGAGGTATGTCTGCGGGCCGAAGATATTTGAACTCATCCTGCAAACACACTTGATATATCTTATTCCTCTGTGTCACTGACCTCTAATGTTGTCCACAAACTATTGAATGAGCCACACCATTTCACTGGGTGACATGCGGTTACATCATCAGGAGCGTGGTCACTGTATGTGGAAGCAGAAATGCTCACAGTGAGAAATAGTCCCCAACAAATACACTGTTAACTCCTGTTTATATTAATGGTTGTTAAACACAACAGTGCCCAGCTGTTTTAGGAAATGAAGCTGTATCATTTTAAATCTTAACAGAGAATAACTGTGATCAACATTCCTCTTTCTCTCAGATCGATGTGTACCTTGCCAAAAGCCTCGCAGATAAGCTGTATCTTTTCCAGGTAATAATGTCTGATGTTGTGCTTAATGCTGATGAGTACGCCTCCCTTTTGTCCCGATAAGTTATCTCTCTGCAGTGGGATTGATGCTTAATATTCAAAGTGTCATTAATCACTTCATTGTTTTTTTTTTTCTGTCGCAGTACCCTGTCCGACCATCCACCATGACCTATGATGATGTCAACCACTTATCAGCTAAGATCAAACCCAAGCAGCAGAGGGTAAGAAGGATCTTTTCTTATTTTCTTATTAGGGGTTGTGAAGTTCTGGGCCGAAATCGATGTTTTTTTTTAGTTTATTTTGCTTTTGTTGTTGTTTATTCCCCCCTTTTTGTTCCAGACAAACTAAAACTGTTCAGTTATTTTTATAGTGATGATTTTTTTAAGTCATTCAGTCCTTCATTACACTATCTTTGAATGAGCACAAAGGCTTTTTTAACCTCTTGTACCCTACCTCCATTTTGTAGCAAAAACGCCTAAAATGACATACCCAAATTAAAATGACTGTAGCTTCTGAACCACTCTGACTACATGCATGCATGAGGTCTTGCCAGAAAAAAACTATCTGAAGTTTCTTGTGAAAGTGTCAGAAACACTCTAGGTAATACAGAGACAGAGTGATGGGCCTCTGAAGTCAGTAAAAAATTGAAGATTTTGCCTAAAATAAAATAAAAAAAAATGTTAGTAACTGTATGTGGCTTCATCTGAGCAGGTAAATGACGCTGTGGGGCTGTAGGCACACTATCAATGAACACTCATTTCAAATTTGAGGAAGACTGCTCAAAGTATGACCATTCTACAGTGTTTTTTCCATGAAAAGATCCGGGCGGAGCTCCAAATGACAAGTCGGTCACTTGGCTTCAAAACAGTACTATCAGTGATCAAACAACACTCAGCCAGCTTCAGACATTGTACCTTATTGAAATCAGGTGTGATTATGATAGCTGATGTTGTTTATGACACAGAAACACAATAAAATATCACCAAATAAAGCCATATGAAACGTTAAAGTTATGATCCCACTATCTAGATGGTATATCTCAGCCAAAAATAGTGGTAGGAGTGAGACTCTTACCTTTTAGAAAAGATCTAAGTCCCCGCTAACAGCTCCGCATAAGATCGCAAGTAATCCTTTAACTTTTCCCCTTGAAAAAAGGCATGACATGACTTGTCACCACTCATCGCGATTTTGGACTTTGTGTGTTTAGGCTGCTTTGGTGCGAAATACACAATAAATAAAAGAAAAACGATGTTATTTTTGAAAAGTTGAGAGCTTCTGGAATCCGGCAATACCGAACATCACATGGTTTGATGACGTAGTGCGCCTGGGAGATACCATTTAACAGAGGAGGAGGGGAGCGAGGACGTCGGTGTCCTGGCGGAGTTAGAGAGGTTAATATATATATAATATTCATTATTCCCTTTCTAATATTAATTTTATATTGCAGAGAAAACATCAACAAATTTCCCCCGTAACAGCTGTATTTATTCAAGTTTGTCATCAAAAACTAACTTTTACAAGATTACATTTGAACACATCATGTTGTACTTAACCTTCACCCAATACTTATTTTTACTGAACAGAACTTGAATGCCTCTTAATTTCATTCTATGCAACTTCCGCTAGCAGTTAGCTCCGGCCACCTGCTGCTAACACCTAACGCTAACTGGCTTTCCTCCTTTCGATTTCAGCACAGATATGTTATTCATAATGTAGTATGTCAGGGGGGAAAGTGCGTCGACAGTGAATTTGCTGCGTCCTTTTATCCCAAAGATGTCCTGAGGAAGATCTTTAGTTCATCATAAACACCTTTTCTGTTGACAACTGGACGCAGTTAGTCTTGAGCCCTGCTTTTTAACCTGCGCAAAACTAATGTGAAACAACAGAAAAACATTGTTGCATCCCAATTTATCATCCATTCATATAGAATAAATTTAACGTGTGTTTTTTGTACTGCTCCATTCCGCAGGTGGAGCTGGAAATGGCCATCGACACAATGAGTCCAAACTACTGTCGCAGCAAAGGAGAGCAGATCGCTCTGAATGTGGACGGCACGACTTATGACGAAACCAACACCTATTCCGTGTATGTCTACTATTGAACCTCCTCTGCGCTCACATGCCACTAACTAACCTGTTTGTATGTTGCTGTCCAAAGGTTTGCCGTTTTGGGAAATGTTTGCTATCTGGTGAAGAGTTTGATACCACTCATGTCTGTACGTCAAATATGCTTAGCTTAGCACATAGAGTGGAAACAAGGGGACACTACTTCTTGGTTTGGAACAGCAACTCCTCAGAGTCCGTGCTGCATTTCAGAATCAAGAAATAGTCCAGCAGATAACCCCTTGCAAAATGGCGAATTGTCATTTGTACACTACTTTTCGTCCAGACTACACAAACAACATAGCAAACAAGCTTCATCTTTGGCACACAGACTCAAACGTGGTATCAGTCTTCTCACTGACTCTCAATAAAAATGCAAATAAGTGTGTTTCCTATATTAGTTACATTTGTGAATGAAACTGATATAATTACTCTTCTTCTCCAGGAAAATGATGGACAAACAGACCTTCTCCTCCATCCAGGCCACCACCAACACATCCAGATACGCCGCTGCTGTGTTTCGTAAAGGTCTGACCTGATTCTGTTTCACTTCAGCACCATGTTTGTGTTATGGTTTGTCTAACCTGGCGGCTGCTGCTGCTTGTAAATACACAAAGGTCGCTCATATGTTCACAGAGTCCATGTGAGTCCTTATCAGCGTTACCTTTCTTATCTGCGTTAAGTAACAACCCTCAGTTTAACTGTGTGTTTATGTTGAAGATAACCACATGTGTCGGTATGATGGACTTCATGACACACTTACATGAGTCCACAATCACCAGAAGCAGGATTTTTGTTTTTGATTGGTGTATTATTTGTGTAAACAGGTGAGCTTCACGTCACACCTCTGACGGGAATCCTCCAGATGAGACCAAGCTTCTCTTACCTGGACAAGGCCGACACCAAAACCAGAGAGAGGGAGGTGGCAAATGAAGGTGTGTCTGTTTTTCTGGGGTTTTTTTGTTTGTTTTGTTTTGTTTTGTTTTGTTTTTTAAACAAAAATGCCTTAAAACCTTGTGTTAATTAGGGCTGCCCCGTAATAGTCGACCGAACGTTAGTCAACCAGAAATGTCATTAGTCCGCAAGATTTCATTGGTTGCTTAGTCGCAGAAAAAAATAATAACGTGAAACTCTATTAGGAGCTGCACCTTGTCAAAATAAAGCAAAACCTATATGACTGGACCATGTGGGAATTTAATTTGAAACGACAGACACAGGAAGTGGCCACACTCAGCAGTCAGACAGGAGTCAGGTTAATTTCCAAAGCTGGTACCTGCAGTTATAACACAGGCTAGTTAATAACATGTCAGGCAGGAAATCCAAAGTGTGGGATCATTTTGAGAAGGTGAAGGACGAACCCAAGGTGATATGTAAACTCATCTTCATTGGTCAACTACAAACATGACGTATCATCTGAAACATGGAAGTAGCTACATGCCCATTAGCCCACAGCGTCATTAACAGGCGGCTCGCTCAGTGTGTGATGTGCACTTGTAGATAAAATATAGGCCTATATTAATGAAGGTTCATTAGTACGGTTTTGTATTTCTCTGTAATGTAGCACAGTGTTAACAATGTTACTGATACTATTTTTCATCCAATCATGTATGGCTGTTGTATGAGCAGAGTCTTCTGTCTGCAGGTGGAGATTCCTCCCAGGATGAAGCCGAGGACGAAGCCAAGGCCATCACGGTGAAGACTTGCACACACACTAATGATTACATGGTCTTCTGTATGTATCAGTGTAGTCTGGCTCATAGGATGTAGGCTGTGGGTATAACACCTATCGCCACACTTCTTTTTAGCGCTGTGCGTGATACAACAACTACCACAGAGTCAACAACCTACACACTAAAACGTCTTTTAAAGTCTTTCTGTGGCGTTTTCTTTTGCGGGGATTTAGGCATTTCTATGCAGTTCCCTTCCAACACTATTTTTGCAAGCACACCATAGCTACCTCCAGGGCTTAGTGCCCCAAGACAACTGTGATTGGTTTAAATAAATGCGAACAACCCAGAGAATATTTTCCCGTAGTGCAGGATTACGATGAAAGCCTGAGATAGGTCTGCCTAAGTGAGACTGGTACCAGTGTGAACCCCTCATTTCTAAAAAAAAAAAAAAAATTCTGCATGTGTTTCCCCTGCAGGTGAGGTTTGCTCGTCCTGAGTCAGAGCAGGCTCGGCAGAGGAGGATCCAGTCGTACGAGTTCCTTCAGAAGAAGCAGGCAGAGGAGCCCTGGGTTCACCTGCACTACCACGGTGTCAAGGTAGGGGGAGCTCTCCCTTTTATGTTGTAGTCATCAGAGTTAATGCTAAAACCTGCAGCTTTGAGTCAGTGAGGAACAAGAGAGCTTGTACTTGTCAGATGATCTTGTCAGCACCAGTTTGTGTTTGTCGTGTTATTTAAATTCAGGACGGGCGCTCGGAGCATGAAAGGCAGTACCTGTTCTGCCAGTCAGTGGACGCCTCGGAGAACTCTGAACTAGTCAAAACTCCAAAGTGAGTATCAACAAATAACATTGACTGTGAGGCTACATGATGTCTTAGTCTGTGAAACATTCCTTACAGTTTGGTAACATAAGCCCCGTTTCCACCAAACACTTTCAGTTTGGTACCTTTGGAACCAAAAGTAGCTGCTTGGATGGACTTCAGACTTCCTGACTTATGGTTCCCTCGTTACATACTCACTCTTATTTTTGCAGGGAATACCTGGCGATGCTGATGCCCCCTCTCGCAGAGGAAAAAGTGTAAGTATTCCTCCCAGGTCTGACCAGTATGAGATTTCAAAGGATATCAAACAATTTCAGAGATGCTTCACTGATGTTTCTCTCTCCACCTGTTTCTCCTGTATGACAGTGTGAAGCCTGTCGGTCCCAGTAATGTTCTCTCCATGGCTCAGCTCCGCACTCTGCCACTGGGAGAGCAAGTCAAGACCCTGATGAAGAATGGTAGGCCAACACATTCACACAAAACTCATCAGCAGATCGTAGGACTGTGACAAGAAAGTGATGAATTGTGACATAATTAGATTATTTAAATGGCAGGTTAATGTCCAACAGTCCACATTTCCCATGCAGTTTTTCTGTCTGCCACACGGGGGCGACAAAGCATTAGTATTGATGTCAGATGTGAAATGGTTTAAGAGTTTATCCTCCTCTGGTACAGAATTATTGAATGCATCCAAACCTCAGTACATTTCTCACAAACATGAGCTGCATAATGTTCATACTATATAATCAGCAATCAGTTTTATATTTCACTTCCCTGTGTCTCCTCTCGTCTGTAGTCAAGGTGATGCCATTTGCCAACCTGATGGGCCTGCTAGCCTCTGGCACGGACTCAACTGCAGCACTGCGCTGCATCCAACAGGTGGCGCTGCTGGTTCAGGGCAACTGGGTCGTCAAGAGGTGAGAGAACATGTCACTAAAAGGTTTACACAGATTAGAGGTGCTGTTTGAAATGGAGCTGGAGAGAGCTCTGCTGCCTGCAACGAGAGGCTGTGTGTCCTTGATTATTACGTAATTATTATTTCTATTTTACTTTATTTACACACACAAGATAAAATCATGAGCTTGAAATGTATAGAAAAATAAGAATGGTGTTAGGAGAGATCAACTAATAACAAAAATAGGAGAAAATAAATAAATTAAAAACAAAGCTAGCATAGTTTAGAAAAATACAACAAAAGTAAATGACAACAAGAAGCACAAAAAATGAGCAGAAAAACTAACCAATTAGTCGACAACTATCACATAAAAACAAGAAAATATGGGGGCGTCGGTGGCTTAATGGTTCGAGCCGACGCCCCATGTACAAAGGCACTGTCCTTACTGCAGCTGTCACTAACAGTAAAGAACAGCCACAAATCTTTGATCCACGCCGTTCATTAATGGCCGTTGAACAATATTAACTTTGTCTGTAGGCTACAGCACAACAAATAAGAAATAACAACAGTAAACACAACTATGTGCCACAAATTGTCCTTGAAATGTGCTTTTTGAGTTTTGCGTAGCCCAAAACGGACCGAAAAAAAGAAACTGTTTGTCTGTGGCCACCATGGACTCACCTCCTTATTCTAACTTTCATGTGTGAGCAATATACTGTTTGTTTTTTTTAGTTATTTGACAGTAATCATATCTAGTCCCTAAAATGTTGAGGCAGAGGGTACTTGCTGTGGCTCTGGTTGAGGGTGAGAGGCTGTCAGTAAATAGTTTGTTGGGCACAGGGAAACAGAGATCTGTGTGGGTACATGAGACCCTAAAAAAGAGGGTGGATCATGGGGAGTACCACCAGTTGGTCCAGGAGCTTCTCCTCCATGATGGATGTTTCCAGGCATATTTTAGGATGACTCAGGGGCAGTTTGACAACCTGCTGTCTGTCATTGGGCCGTATAGCTCTGGGTATCCAGCAACTGCTACCACCAGTTTCTCCTCCATTGTTTACCAACTGTAAACTTGTTGTCGTGACCACCACAGACCTGCCTCTCAGATCATCCGATTGGACAGTGTGGAAAAAGATGACATGGGGTGCTTTTTATGCTTTGAGTTGAAGTTTTTTCAACTAGAGGAGTCAGAGCACCACCAGCAAAAACGCCAGGTGCATAGAGCGCAGAAACAAAACCAGGACAACACCAGGCAGCAGCCGAGGCGCAGCCACATCTGGTAGAATTGTCCTTCCAGGCTCGATTACAGTCAACAAGGTGGAGAACCTAACAAAACTAGGACTAATTCACCTCCTGACATGCCTAGTTTTAGTGGATTATAACATGTTGCGAATGGAATTAAGCTGCTGATGCTCCGGTCCAGAATGAGACCACACTTATTTGTGGATGTAAGTTTTTTAGCCATGACGAAGGCCATAATGTGGCCTGCAACAGACAGTGAGGTTTTTTTTTTTGTTTTTTTTTTTAAGTAGCTGATTTCCGGAAAACTTGCAGCCCCTACCGACTGTTTTAAACCGTCACTGACTCCTCACTCCTTTTAACAAGTCAATAAAACAGGATTTTTTTAATCACCACAACCACGAGAGATCCTTGAGCGTACTGTAGTTAATGTGCACATGTAATATTAGGCTGATTGGTCCAGTAGTTTGGCATTCTGTTTCTGTACACCACAATATCTGAGTGAGTTTAATATGTTTCACATTAAGCTTACAGACCTGCAGTTAAGTGATGTCTCTGTATGTTTTATTTCTGCAGTGATGTTCTGTATCCTAAAAACACGTGCAGTCCTCACAGCGGCGTCCCTGCTGAAGTGCTCTGTCGAGGCCGGGACTTTGTGGTGAGCTGCTGTCACTGTTCACACAAAATAAAAACCCACTATCAGCACAGTGCCTCATCGTGTGTGTGGTCGACATGGTTGTAAAGTCATAGTGACTCAGTTGTTTCTCTTGTAGATGTGGAGGTTCACTCTGGAGCGCTCTGTCATGAGAAAGGAGATCGCATCCATCATCAAAGTAAGACCAGAATCCTAAAATGACCGATGACTGTTTCTTCTTTGTAATGACAGCTGAAGATGGCTCAGTAGACTGCATTTCCTTCTGCATTTTTGTGCTACAATAATTAAACTTCATGGATTTTCTTCGTGGTTTAGCTTGCAACTATTTTGCACAATTTAACCGTCATGGAAATGTTTGAAAATTGCACGTTGGCAGTGGAAAACTAATTGTTTGAGGCACTCAGGTTTAAAATATGCATCTCACTCCAGAGACTGCTTTCATGGTGAATTAGTCTCTTGGGTGTTTCAACACATTTGCAAGGAAGTTGTTTGTGGGAGTGTGATATGCGTCCACCTTTTTAATTTCACTCATTAGACTGGATCCGGTGTGAATTGGTTGTTTTGCTAGTGTTTCTTTCTGATTTTACAGTTTATTGCAGAAATAGAGCAGGCACTGAGAGGAGAAAGTCTTTTACAGTGATGTGCGGATGAGATGAGTTTCATTAATGCCAGTGGGAGTAAAACTAATAAAACTCTCCACAGTATGAACAGTGGTTACATGAGCCTCAAAACCAGCCACAACTCAGCCCTGAGCAGAGTGACCATCCTCTACTGACCAATCAACAGACTGCAGTGTTCACAGCTCCACCTTTTAGTACCAGATCTGTGTGCTAGGTACCCCAACAGAGGGGGGGACCAAAAATGGGAACGGTACAGAACAGTACCATTGGTACCATCCACAACTTTTCACAGTGGAAAACCGTACCGCTCGGTGGAAATGGGGCTTTATATTATCCATGACATAATGACACAGTTTTTGTGTGAGTGCAACATAAATAAAAACTCCTAGACCTCCCAGATGCTCAGTGCCACCTCAGTCTTTCACGGTTGTTTAGATGCTGAGAGCTTCACTGGAGTGTCTTTGAACCCTCGCTCCAACTTGCTTCTTGTCACCCTGAGGCTACGGTTGTTCCCTTCGTCCAGGTAAACACACCTAACAAGCTCTTCCTCCTGTCTCCCGTCAGCTTCCTCCAGAGGATGTGAAGGAGTTCCTGGAGCATGTGGCTGCTCCCCGAGTCAACCGGGGCTGGGAGTTCCTGCTGCCTACTGATGTAGACTTCATTAAGAAACACCCAGATGTTGCCCACAGGCAACACATGCTGTGGCTCGGCATCCAGAGCAAGTAGGTTACACTCAAAGAAGCGGGAGGAATGTGCTTCACTCAGGAATGCACCAGGGTGTTCCTGTCAATCATGGAAGTGATAATAAATGTTCTTGGAGGGTTTGTGGACTGTTTTAATTTGTACTCTTATTTTAAAGGTTGGAAAAAGTCTTTAACTTCTCAAAAGAAGACTTCATGCCAAAGAACTCCCCTCAGCCTGGTGAGTTTCCTCTGTAACAGCCACCCGTTAACGCATTAACATTAAACATTCAGCTGATGTCTGTGTTGTTTTCCAGAGCCTGTCCACATCAGTGGCGAGCAGCGTCTGAAGATGGCTCAGGAGCGCGCTCACGACAACCACTCGTCCCTACAGAAGGACCTGGACACCAGGCGGGCAGGGAGCAGCGTCCGTGTCAAACAGGAACCGGTCAGTGACAGGGAAGACGAACCCATGGACACGTCGTCCTCCATACCCAACGGTTCTGTCAATGGTTACCCCAGTGCCATCTCCCCCGGCTTCGATCACACTAACGGTAACGGAGGGAGTCCCGCCAACACGGTGTCCCAGGAGCTGCAGGAGTTTGTGACAAAGACTTTCAGGAAGCATTTTGTACTGACGCTGAACGAGTTTAAGAGGCTGTTCGGCCTTCACCTGGCCTCTATGCCAGTGGGACAGAGCGTCTTCCCCTCCATCTCGGACCACATGCTGCAGGACGCCATACTGCTCTGCCAGTGCAAACAGATAATGGTGCCTGTGAGTATTCAGGGGGGATTGAGATGAGGATTTACAAGGAGTCGGATGTATATCTCCAATTGCTTCACACTGGATGCTTCTGTTTTCCTTCTTTGAATCTGTGTGTTTGAGATCTCATTTGTGTGAGCACTCTTGTTACTGTGAGGCCGCATGCAGAGTAGACTGACAATCACCAGGCAAAACACTGCAGGGAGCTGCTGAACTGATGAGAGCATGTTGGAAGAGGTATCAGTGAGAAGATGAGGAAATATGAACCCAGAGATCCTGTGTCAGGCGGCAAAAAATCGCTCTTCCTATTGCTTTGAGGCAGGGATTTACTACTCCGAATGGCAGCAACATTTTCTTCCATCTCGACACTTACTCATTTAAGGGCAGGCCCATTATTTATTTATTTATTTACTGTTGTTATTAGTGGTAGTAGTATTCATTTGTTCATTCATTTTCCGTAACCGCTTATCCTGTTGAGGGTTCCTCCCACAGTCCAAAGACATGCAGTAACTGGTGACTCTAAATTGTCCGTAGGTGTGAATGTGAGTGTGAATGGTTGTCTGTCTCTATGTGTCAGCCCTGTGATAGTCTGGTGACCTGTCCAGGGTGTACCCCGCCTCTCACCCAATGTCAGCTGGGATAGGCTCCAGCCCCCTGTGACCGGATAAGCAGTTACGGAAAATGAATGAATGAATGAATATAAAATAATGGAAGCAGCTACGGTGTTTGTGGACTCTCCTTTTGAAGCCTCAAGTTCAGCATTAACACTGTCACTGTCTTGTTTTTTCTGGAGTCAGAAGTGACCATATTTGGGGCGAGAAGGTGGTGCTGTGGAAGAGCAAGGGGTGGATCTGACTGAGAAGCTGAAGGTGCTATCGGCAAACAGTCTGTCTCTCAAAGTGGCCTGCCTTTGATATAAAAATGAATCTCTTGTACAGTTGTCATAATGTAGGACGTTAGCCATAGAGCCACAGTTTTTGTACCAGGCTGTAAACAGGTTTATTTCTTCTGTAAAGTCGGGCATTTTAACATGAGGGTCTGTGGGGATTGACTGGCTTCTTGAGCCAGCCGTAAGAGGCCGTTTAAAGAGCTAAAAACAACCCCCCAGTGTGCATTTCAATGTTGAAAATCCCAGAGAAGAGCGCAGATGGATACACAGCGCAATTTATAAGACTTATCAGTAAGATGAATCGGCAAAAATGCCAGAAATTCACAGGTTCCAGCCTCTCAAATGATATTCTTTCTCTTATATCACAGTATACAGGAATATTATGGGTCTGGGATGGTTGCTCAGACAAAACAGGATACTTAAAAACATCAGCGTGGGCTTTGAGAGACTTGTTAGGCATAGACAAAACAATTATTATGAATGATTTGTTGTTTGATTGACACTAAAACAATCTTAAATTGAGGCTCCAGTTGGCACAATGCTGCACCAAGAGCTGCTGCCGCTCTCTTTCTGTCCGTCCAAGCTGCCTCTGGGTGCTAAAATGTTTTTTTCTCAGCTTGAATGCAGCTATCAGTTTTCCCCAACAGAATAACAGCATTAACGGTCGTTTTGCTCAGGAGCGCTTTGTTGTCGGTCGGTGCACTGAAGCAATGCAAACCTGGTTCTCAGGTTCTCGCTCAGGTTCCAGCAGCAACCTGACACCTCCATGTGTTTGCAGTGTGTTTCCCTGTACGCCCTGGCTGCTGTTTGTAAGCTCAAAATAGCTGGATGAGGACTGTTACCGCTGCTTTCGTAGCTGTGTTTTACTTGGTGTGGAGTTTGCTCATAGGGCGGGGAGTGGCGAGGCCTGTGCCATGTCCTCTTGTTTCATTAAGCAGCCAGGTCTCCTGCCAGGACCAGCCCTGTCCTGGCTCAGGTCTTATCCAATCTGTATCCTCGACATGAGAGGATTGTAACCGCAGTAGGGGGAGGGACTGGCCGGACGCCATCTTTGTTATGCAACAGATTATTAGCCTCAAAGCTCATTACTGCTCAGCGAGAGACTACGCTGGTGTGATGTTTGCAAACGCAGGCAGATCTAGAATCAGAGGATTCACCTTGTGTGTCACAGTGAACATTATTGTTGAGACGTCTGACAGTTCATAGATCAGTTCTGAGTCAGTGTGCTGTGTCTGGACGTTAATCCTTCTCAGCGTTGGTGCTTCTGGTCACAGCAGTGCTTGGCCTCCTCTTGTTTTTGACGTTCTGTCAGCGGACCAAATTAACAGACAAAGCATGAGCATCTGAGAGAAAGGAGAGCAATGCTGTGATTTGTTAACTGTTGCATGACATGGCAACGTGGACACTTGAATCAAAGGATGAGCATGCATGCTTTATTATGTTTGTTATTAACACACTTTCACCAGTCCGAACACGATCTCTTCTCTCTTCGTGTCTGACAGCTGAGAGTCTGTAATGATGGTGTTTTGCTCCAGGATTGGGCCCAGCACACCTTTTTTTTTTCTATGAAGCCTGCCCTGATCAGACAGAGCATTTTTGGCAATCTGCATAAAAAATGGACAGGCAAAGGCACTTGCTCTGGCTCTGATTGAAGGCGTGAGACTGCTCCCAAATAGTTTGTTGGTCACAGGGAACAGAGATCTGTGTGGGTACATCAGAAATCGCAGGTAGTACTATTAGCTGGTCCAGGAGCTCCGCCTGTGTGGTTGTTGGTTCAGGGCTTGTTTTCGGACGAGTCTGGGACAGTTTGACGATCTGCTGTGTATCGTCAGGCCTCGTTACGGTCAGTAGTTGAGAGCCATGTACAAAAGCCCAGTGACGAGCTGCTCATATGAAGCCAGGATAAATCACACACAAGGCTTAAAATGCTATTTTTGTGGAGGCTTTATTGTCTTCACAATTTATTGTTTCTTATCTGTGAAATTAAAGTAAATAAAAGCTTTGTTTCCACTGAGGGAAATGGTTTCAGCTTACAGAAATAGACAGGAGGTCTCTACATTTCTTGGGAGGTGCACGTCAGGCTACAGCGTAAGGTACAGAGGTCTGTGTGGGTTCATGAGACCTTTAGAAAGAGCAGAAATCACAGGTGGTACTACCTGCTGGTCCAGGAGCTTCGCCTGCCTGATGGTTGGTTCAGGGCTTGTTTTAGGACGAGTCAGGGACAGTTTGACGATCTGCTGTGTATTGTCAGGCCTCGTTATGGTTGATAGAGTGTTACAAAGTAGTTGAGGCAACAGTTTGTTCAGAAATGTCTTGCAGCTTGCCGAGGGTGATGTTGAAAGTAAGCAGATGTTAGCTTCACGCGCTTGTTCTTCTTCACAGAAAGGCTGCCTCACAATTCATCTGACTGGACAATGTGAAAAAAGGGCAATGACTTTGGGCGCCTTTTGTGCTCTGAGTTGTTGTAGTATTTCAACATGAGTTGTTCAGGGTGCTCCTGCAGAAATGCGAGGTGCTCTGATTTGCAAAAGCAACAAGCAGAACGCTCCACTCTCACTGAAAACCACCACAGAAAGCCGCCCCACGTTGCCAAAACAGTGTGTTTGATCAGGGTCTTAGCATAGCAAGATTTGGATTTGATCTGGTAACTCTCTTGTCAGTTGCCTTTCTAATGCGGCTGTCTCCCTCTGACTTTAGTTTCCTGCTCAGAGCACAGCAGCCCCCGACGAACAGAAGGTGTTTGGTCTGTGGGAGACTGGAGACGAATTCGATAAGGTAAACACTTTTTGCCCAGGTTTACAGTGATGTCACAACATCCTTCCTGTCTTGACTCTACATGCAGACTTTTGCAGCTAAACCCGCACCACAAACCACAAGTGGAAGCCTTCAGCTATCACCAGAATTTCACATGAATTTCAGAAACCACATGCAGTGTGTTGAACTGTGTGTAATTTGGATGGTGACATGACTGCGACAAAGTAGGCCACAGTTCTGTTTGTCGGCCACAGCCATAGCCGAAGAGGCAAAGCTGCTCGGCAAAAGTGTTTCTTCTCTCGCTTGTTTCTTCTGGTTGACTTATTGTGGTATTAAGTGTGTTTTAGCTGCAAATGTCTCCATGAGACTTTGTGTTAAATTCCCCGACATAAAGGAAACAGTGACTGACCAGCTGCGGCTTCCCTCCCACGTCACTGATTACGTCACACGCTGAGCTACACGTTTTGTTACTTGCTCACGCCCCCCATTGCACCGAAAAAGGCACATTCTGTATGAACAAAAGTAGGCAGGTGGCATTTTGCTTCACTCCCCGATTTTGTTTTTATACTGCCAATGCTGAAAGAAGACTGATTGGGCTTTCCTGCAAATTTGCACAACTCCTATTTAAAAAGGGCTTTAGATGTGTCAATCCTTTGTCTAACTCTCAGTTGGAAAGCAAATAAGCGTATGCTCAAAATGTCGAACTATTCCTTTCAATTAATTCCGTGTTTTTCCTCCTGCAGCAACGTCGGCTGCTCTATGACCTGTTCAACAAGAACTACCGCGTCAGGAGGCCGATGATACAAGCCAAACTGGCACAGGAGTTTGGAGACGTCCCGAAGGCGGACATCGACCGGCTGCTCAATGTGAGCTGAGTGACAGGACAGAGTCTGTCTTTAAGGAGCTTTTCTTTTTTGTTTTTTAATAATAAATCACTGATGTAACCTTTAATCTGTCGTTCCAGGAGTGCTGCAGCAGCCACGCAGGGATGTGGTACCTCAAGGGAACGATACAGTCCTGACGCTGAGAGTCTGCCACCCCCCCGCGGTCACCGTCAGCCAATCAAATCCTCTCTCGGGTGTCCAGTGGGAGGGCGGCCAGAGAGACGAGAGCCAATCACAATCACAGCTCGCCCAGCTCTGAGGGCCGGTGATTGGAAGACAAAAAAAAAATGTCCGCCTCAGCTTGGAACACGAAGCTTTTCCTGTTTCAACTGGAGCATTTCTGACTCTGCTGCAGCGCGGAGCGTACTCACTAACAGCTGGAGAGTCTGAGCGGGAAAACATGAATATAAGCAAATGAAGAAATAGCTCAATATATATACGGTTTATAGGTAGGTTTTTGGATTTTTTGGACCTCATGTTTGATTATTTTGGAACTTAAACTTTTACCTGATGAGGAAGGTGTTTACTGTTGGAAGGAGACGTGGCTCTAAGTGCTCTCATTCTACTCCTGATTTGTACATTTTGCCAGAGGAAACACATTTTTACTTTATTATATCACCAACAGAGTGAACATTGATTCAGTCCTTCAGAAAACATAAAGAAGCAGTCTGATTTATTTTTCATGCACCAACACTTTGATCTGACCTGGTCAAACAATATCAACTATATACAATATTTATTCCACCCTCAAAACACAAGTAAGAGGGGTGAGCTTTAAAGGGACAGATGGGTACTTATTTATAATCAGTGTATTACCTACAGTAGATGTCGGTCGTCACGCCCCTCTCCCCCCCCCCCAGTTTGGAGAAGCAGACAGGAGTGCTGACACAGTTGAGCAATGTACTGCTGAGAATGTCCGGAATGCTTGACGGCTTGGTCTCGGGTGTTAGCCGCTGCAGCTGCTGTGTTAGCTCATGCTAGACGGTCCTTTAGCAATCGTTGAAGCACATTTGCGAATCCTAGGCTAGTGAATGAATGACCCGCCCTGTGCTCACTATGATTTAGCTAGTGATCTTTGCCTTCGTTGGTGGGGTTGGTTAGGTTTAGGCAAGAGGAGTGGGATTGTTTTGAGTAAGAATGTCAGGGTAAGCCAATCAGCGGGCCATCTCTTCGCAAATTCGCCGTCACGAGATTTAGTGGTAAACACCAAGTGCTCTTAATAATAAGCTCTGAGTCTGTGACAACATCACAACATGCATCACAATTTTCTTGAAAAGTTGCTGTGAAATCAGGCATTTCAGGCCGCGGCAATCCCACAAACAGCCCACGAAATCCTGAAGGGACTCCGGCTTTTCAAGGACAACAGACTCCATTTACAAAAACAGTAATTTTACGTCACAGAACACAGGAGCTGCTGGTCAACCGCTGCCTCATCACGTATTTTGTTCCTGTTATTGTGCGACTTTGGTGTTTTAAACGGGTTTGTTCAGATTCACCAAAGTCACATATTAAGACAAGCAAACAAACATGGATGGAGACAGCGGCACACCAGCAGCTCGTGTGTTCTACGAGGTAAAATTACTGTTTTTGTCAATGGAGTCTGGTGGCTTTGACAAGAGCGTAAACAGGTACAAAAGCTTCAGTTCCCTGTCAGAAAGAGCTGTTTGACAGCAAGGTAAAGTGGTGAAAATATATTAAATATAGCGTACACTTAAACTGTTTGATAGCTGCACAACATTCATTACCTCCCATGTCAGACTCCTTCCTGCTTCTCCAAACTGGAGACATCTACTGCAGGTAGTACACTGCCTATGAACAAAGCACTTCAAAAAAATCTGAGCTATCCCTTTAAAGAATATCAGCTGAGTAGAGTATTTATTCCACCCTCCACACACGAGTGAAAGGGTTGCGCTTTAAGGCCGAATAATGCAGCTGCTTAATTAAAATGTGTGAAGAAATGTTGCCAAGTTCACGAGTCAACACACTTTAAAACAAAAGGGAAAATAAAAATAACAGTAATGCAAAAACAAAAAAGTCCCTGATGTTGTTGTGCTCATGTTGTACAAATTAAATCACTTGATATTTTTTTGGCAATCATGGACCTGATATAACTGCCACATCAGATGTGGCTTCCTTCACGTCTGTCGTACTCAGTCGAACGTGCACTGAAATACAAAATGAGAGACAAAGTGGATGCTGTTGAAGTTTGTTTGTGGTCGAACGTACAGATTTCAAATGGTTTTCCTTTAATGAAAGAGACTAATTTTGATGGCGGCCAATAAAGATGCAATTTTGAATATGAATTTCATCACAGTTTGATCATAAACCTGTCTGTTGAATCCATTTGTATGAACAAAGTGGAACATATGTGTGGACCGAACGGATTGTGGTCTGGTACAAACACCGGCCCGCCATCTGGGGAGGTTATGTGGGAGTTGTTGCTATGGATACGCTGGTGTATCGCCATGTGCTGCTATTATGAGCCTCCATCGAAAGTGCCTCACAAGACAAACTCCCATTCATTCATATTCAGAATTACAGGAACAGTAATACTTTGATTCTCATTTAAACCTTCGAGAGTAAAAATTTAGTGTTACATCATCAAATAATGACATGACTGTTTTTTTTTCATTGGTTTGTTACTTTGATCAATAAACGTAATGTCAACTCTTCTGATTTGTTCTTTTGTCATTATTACGTATTATCAGTGGTGTTATGTTACAGGATGTCAGACCCTGGGTTAGTGAGGTGACATTTTTAGTTTGTATGATTTCTTTTGATTTATAACTAAAATTTTATGCATAAAGAGAGATGCTCTTTTGATGTTTGATTTAAATCTAAGTAATGAACATATCTCATGAAAAACTACAGTTTCTGTTCATTTATCTATGTTATTATTTAAAGAAACAGGTACATTTAATTGATGAAAAATTGCTTAAGTATCAATAAATGTCTTAAAAATACAGTAATCAATAAATATGGAAATTTAATATATAACTACAGGAAAAACATTTGAAATTACATAATTATAGGTGTTTTTTTTTCATTTTATTTAATGTATTTATTTAATGATGTCTTGTTTATCAAGTTTTATGTATTTTATATAAATAAATATTTTTTCTTGATTGTTAATTATTGAATATTTAATAATTATTAAAAAATAATTATAAATATTTATTTAATTATTCATATCAATATCAAATATATTTATTCCCGTTTTTACTTGTGCATTTATTTATTCATTTATTGATACTTAAAGGTTAACTTTGGTATTTTTTTCAACCTGGACTCTTATCTTTTTCCATGTTTTGTATTTAATTGACTTTAATTGAGCACTATGACTGGCAGCTGCAAAACAGGCTGCAATTAAACCATTCAGGGTATGCTCATTGTCGAAGTGCTTATTTTTGCCACTGTCAGGCTCAGGCTGTTAATAGAAGCGTCGGAAGACAGTACTGAAAGGATCCATACAGAGTAAATCCACCAGACTCCATTTAAAAAAACAGTCATTTTGATGTGTATAGAAACAGTTTGCTTTCACACCTAACTGAGTGAATTAAGGGTTTATTTAAACCGAACCCGAGTTGGTGATTGCTGCAACAGTGGAAAGACAAACCAAGATGGCTTTTGTTATTTTTATTTTGTGTCTGTTGACTTTGAATGAAGCGTGTTTTATGATGATAAAATTACTGTTAATTTAAATGGAGTCTGGTGGGTTTGGCAATGGCAATTTCGGGGCTGTTTCTGGTTTAACAAAAAGGATCTTGATCTTTAACAAAAAGGTCTATCGCTACCCAGAGCTCATGACCATAGGTGAGGGTTGGGACGTAGATGGACCAGTAAATCGGGGCTCAGGTTACGTAACTGATTTTAGCTGTTAATGATTGCTCTTTGGTCATTTTTATTTTTGTTGATTGTGTTTGAAGTGCAGCAGTGTGTCTGGTGTCAAAGCAGTTTTATTACATCAAATTAAGTGATTTATGATGCCCAAGTGACACCGCCTCTATGAATAAAGTTTAATTATATCTTTAAATGAACTGACTCATCAAAAAAAAGACACAACCCCGCTGTCTTGGCTTGCTTCATGTTTTATGGCTCAGACATTAAGCCCCAAGGTCCAATCATGAAACAGGTAGAAACACATTGTACATACATACATACTGCAGATTATTCAGGACACTTGATAATAACTACATACGTAAAGTGTCAGAAGAGCTTTGATAATGTGCAATTTCTAAAGTGCATCTCAACGTGATTTCACAGACATCTACAAACTGTGCGCACAGTCTTAAGCTTAACGAGGACACGTGGACGTCAGGCAGCAAAAGCAACAGAAGTTTTGCTGAGAAAAGCTTCTAATCAAACATGACTTTATGATATATGATATATATACCAGGAGGCCGTTACATCATCAAGTACATAGAGTTAGTCTTTTGGTAAACCTCAGAACTTCCCTTTAATATAACATTCACTCACAGTCATCTAACCTATCACACAATAATCAAGTATTGTTTTGTTTTTTAGAAAGAAATGTCACAATTACAAAAGGTCCTAAATATGTTTGAGCACCTTGAATCACCAACAATATAAACTCCTTCACCAATGTAACAACTTAGATCAGTCGCTCTTATAGGCGCAGGCATAACTATCACCGGCTGCAAATAGCTGCAAAGAAAAAATAAATTAAAAAAGTTCACACTGGATCATCGGAGCTCAGTAAACAAATCAAAGAGCAGATACAGCATACATTACACATAACATTTTATATTATGGATCCGTAATTTTGTGATAATAATCTTGCAAGTTTCCTGAAAAGAACAGCTTAGTTTGTCATTTGGGACTAACCAACAGTTTTGACTTTTTAGGTCACGGTCCTGGTTAAAGCTGAAATAACTGGTTGATTAGTTGATTAGCTGATCAACACAAAATAATTCAGCAACTATTTAGATAATCAATTCATCATGTAAGTCATTTTTTAAAGGCCCAGTGTGTAGGATTTAGTAGCATCTAGCCACAAGATTGCAGAACTAGAGCCAGTGTTTGGTTTGTCCATTCTGGGCTACTGAAGAATCAACATGACGAACTCCGAGGACCCTCTCCCTATGTAGATATCCATCTATCCATTTTCATCCGCTTATACGGGGCAGGGTCGCAGGGGCAGCAGGCTGAGCAAAGCACCCCAGACGTCCCTCTCCCCAGCAACACTTTCCAGCCCCTCCTGGGGGACCCCAAGGCGTTCCCAGGCCAGATGAGGTATGTACGCAGCGTGTTCTAGGTCTACCCCAGGGCCTCCTACCAGTGGGACGTACCCAGAACACCTTCAATGGGAGGCACCCAGGAGGCATCCTGATCAGATGCCCGAACCACCTCAACTGACCTCTTTCGACGCACAGGAGCAGCGGCTCTACTCCGAGCTCCCTCCAGATGTCCGAGCTCCTTACCCTATCTCTGAGCCCAGCCACCCCACGGAGGAAACTCATTTCGGCTGCTTGTATCCACGATCTCATTCTTTCGGTCACTACCCAGAGCTCATGACCATAGGTGAGGGTTGGGATGTTCACTATCACTACTCTCATTCATATTTTAAGAAGATAAAAATTATATTCAGCTGCAAAATAAGCCAGAAAAGCTTGACGTTACAAAGCAAGTTCAGAGAGTAGTTGCTATTGGAGACGATACACCGTCTCGTCAAGTCACATTGGTGTAAACTGGCAGGTTTTCAGAACCTAGCAAACTGGGGCATTGCAGGTAGTTTCAAGTGTCTCGCCTCATCGTCAATCTTTGGTCTAAAGCGGAAAGCAGTTTGATTTCTTTTGAGAAAGAAAATTACTTGGAAACTTGATCTTCCATATACAAACATTGAATTGTCGTATAACTGTATATAACTTCTGATTGTTTCGCTCAGTGGTTCCTACCTGGTGGGTTGCAGGTCCATTCTGAATGGACCGCAAGTGACTCACCAATATGTCAAGTTTGTGAAAAACATACTTTATTGTGAAGTCCAGTGAATTTCCAGCACAGAGCTTTTATTTTGAAGTGCCATTCCTGCTGTAGAGTGGGTGAATAACTGAAAGCTTAACAGAGACAGCAGACTAGCCCGACAACATGGCCAAGCGCAAGTATGATGCTGAATGTATTAAACCGTGAGGACCTTGAACTAATGACTAAGGAGAAACCTGAATCCTGAGGCTTGACCAGTTGGGAACCGATGGTTTAGCTGACCCACTGTGCACTGACTTCAAGACTTTAGGGTTAGGGGTAACCTAAAAGTCTTTTGGTTACACCTGGGAGGGAACTTGTTTCGGTAGAACATTTGCAGGGTGGGGAGGCGAGCGCTGCTGTTTTTAGCTCAGAGGTTGTTTCATGTCTTGTGTCTCAGGTTTGGCGGGACTAGTTTCACATAGCGTCAGGGACTTTGGAAACTGTAGCACGCAGATAGTGGAAGGGGAGAATTCCATCTGAAACAGGCGGCCAATGGCAGGCTCATAATCACAGTCCACACCCTGTGAGCTGAACTACCATTCTCTCTGTTATTAGCACCAAATTACATCTTTACATATTTTCCAGGAAACTTTCTGTGAAACTTACATCTTTCTAGGAAACTATAGGACCCATAAAATAAAGTGTTACCGATAAAGGAAGACCCAGAAATGATTTCCTCAGGAGTTTGTTTGTGCAAAGTGAGGTAGAGTGATTGCACAGTAGAGACGGCGGCGTTAGGCACTGGTGTTTCTGTGCAAAATGAGCCTCATCTGAGACATAAGCTGGTGGTGTTTGGCCTTCTGGTTCCTGTATCACTCTCGTCTCTTAACCCCTTCCCAAGGCGATCACCATTTCTGGGCGGATAACATACAGTAAAGTGTAGAGTTAACGTCAAGTGCTGCTGTAAGAGTCTTTCCAAAGAGTCGCTCTTTAACTGGAAGACAATAATAAATCTTGAAGCATCTTTTTCTTTCTTTTTTTTGCGAGCTATTGATGCAAAATAGGCAGCATTTCACCAGCTGAAAGTCGCCCTCTGTTCTCAATCAGGTCCTCTTTGGTTTTCTGAATGCGTGAGAAGATTTCCCTAAAAAGTTCCTTATACTCCGGCTGGTGAAAGTCGTCTGTAAAGTCCCCCATGTCTGTGAGAGTAGGACAAGTGGCAGCGAGAGATGCAGTCTGGACCGACCTATGGGTCTGCCCATCCTGCTCCTCCTCCTGCTGCACCAGGTGGCAGCGCCGCAGCAGCTCATCGTACTTCACCTGCAAGGCACTGTACTGGGCGTCGACCTCATTTAGCAGCGAGATCCCACGATACTTCACCACCTCGGCCCGACGCACGCAGGAGCACTCGTGGTCATAGATCCTGTCGGGAGAGTCAGGCATATGTGTCGCCTTCATCAGCCGCTCGCTGTCCCAGCGCTTCAGGACCCAGGGGCTTTTCTCTGCAGCGCCATCATTCTCCTCCTCCGCGTTGAGGAACATGGAGTTGCGCAGCAGGCTGTGGATGACGTCCGGTCTGGTGGATCTCTGGGAGGAATCTGATTTCCAGAGCTGACGAAGCTCCTCCGCCTCGCGCTCCAGCTCTGCCACTCGGACCTGAAGCAGACAGAGAAAAGGAGGATGTCAGAGAGGACAAACACAAACTGAGAGCATCACTGACATGTTTCAGAAAGACCAAGAGTGAATCCCTGAGGCTTTTCCATGTCCACATACAACGTGCAAGGTACCCTGGGTGTGTTGGTTGTTGACGTTCTGCGACACCATGTCAAGTTCTGCCTGTTACGTGTATCGTCTTCTTTCAAAATACACTTCTGTTTTCACAGGAAATTTAACATTTACATACAGTCTCTTTCAAAATAAACGCACTATGTCGGTACAAAACCACAAAGTGGCTTTTTTTTCCCCTTGAACAACAACAACACGTGGTTAGGTTTAGGAAAAAAGAACAGGGTTTGGTTTCACTACACTTGTTCTTTGTGAATGTGTTCTGTGCAAACAAACTCACAGGTGAGAGATGTATCGGTCAGACATACCTGACAGCCCTCCATCCCTGCCAGCTGCTGCTCCAGCGCTGCATTTTCTCTGGCAAGCAGCTCGGCCTCTCGCTCTGACTGCTCCCTCCGAGCACGCTCATTGGCGAACTGAGTCTGGAGGTTGCGGAGGGATTGTCGAAGCGACGCCTGCTCCTCTTCGTGCCACGACATGTCGGAGGACTGGAGGCCATCTGAGGGTTCATCGTAGTCATACCTACACAGAAACACAGACAGTTAGAACTCTGTGCATTTAAGGATGCGTTTCCTGAATTGGATTTTTCTTATTATTCGATACAATGAATGTTGTTAGAATCTGTTGTCATGCAGACTGTCAATCCATTAAAGGAGTAGTTCAACATTTTGAGGAATACATTTATTCTCCTTTTTTTTTGACGGATAGATTGGGAGATTGATATCGCTCTCATTTCTGTATAGTAAACATGAAGCTCGAGCTAGCAGACAACTAGCTTAGCTTAGCATAAAGACTGGAAACAGGTGGAAACAGCTAGCCTGCCTCTGTCCCATGGTAACCACCTACCAGCTTTAAAACCCATAAATCATCAGGTTATATCCTGTTTTCTAATGTATTAAGTGTAAACAGGACAAGCTGTGTTTGTCTACAGTTGTGACGACAGTTGTTTCATACATTTCCAGATTAATTCCCAAAGCTTTTCAGGACTTCTACATTTTCATTAATTTTTCATACATCCCCAGTTACTCAAAAAACGGTTTCTACTGCTACTAAAGACCATGTGACAGACAAAATCTCCAGAACAGGTGAGCAAGTGGACCTTGAGTGTATGTAGCTGTGTCAACTGTTCCTATATGGCCTTTATAATTACCATGCAGGCTGATAATTTATCTTCTCTTTCATAACTGACTGTGAGCATTTTATCTTTTGCTTATCTGCCAAAACAAAGTGAAAGGTGACAGGAAGTGCACCGTGGAGAGATGATGACGACATCTACCAAAGGTCATGAGCCACAGTATCTGAGCTGACTTTGTGTGACATTTAAAATAGGCAGAATTGTTCCAGTCTTGTTAAATGTCTGGCACATGGCGTTGGGGATTTAAAGTAGTGCCAAGGGCCTGTTTATACACTTCCGTATATTTCTGAAAACGAGATTTTCAAAAACGGCTTCCAAAGTGAAAGTTTTTAAAAATATATGTATCAACGTATCGCCACCTACTGCCCTGGCATGCTAATTGCAGCAAAATTCTGCCGTTTTTTGGCGTTTTTGTGTAAACAGGGATATCGTTTTCACAACTGACTGTGTAAACCCAGAATTTTTTTGTACGGGATAAATAAAAATCGGTATCCGTGTAAACAAGGCCTAAGGCTCAATGGTTGCAACCATGTACGCACATGCCACGCCCAGTGGTGCAGCAGTAGTTGATGAGGTGGGTGTACTACTAGGTAGATGGGCAGGTTACCGAGGAGGAAGTGGGCTTACTCTCAGTTACAATGGGTTTTCAGCTGATAAGTGGTAGGGGTGGGAATCTCCAGAGGATCCACGATACGATATTATTTTGATATGCTGAGTATTGCGATAAAATATATTGAGATTTATTACCTTTTTTCAACTGTAAATTCTGTCCCCATGATGTCAACATAACATAATTTTTAATAGTACAGTTCCTCTACAATGTCCTTCCACTGTCTCGGACATGGAGGGTCATGTTTCAGCCAGTTCCTATTAATGGTCTTTTTGCATGCAAGTGTCTTTTGGTCTGTGATCACGTTTTGATTCTAGTGGACAAAAAAAGCAAGAGCTAAAGAGGTGGGTACAACCCGTATAACTGTGTATAGCTTCCACGACACCACTAGTCACACAAACCCAAAGATTCTCACACACACAAACACTTGACCTCCATGCCAAATTTCAGCCTCCTAGGGCAAAAACTGTGGCTGCCAAAGGGAGGAGACATTCTTGTGACCCAATGTACAGAGTGAGCTATAGAGCTTCTGGTCCCAGCATTTTTTTTTTTTCTTAAAAAAAAAAAAAAAAAAAAAAAAAAAAAAGTTAAAATCAATCAAAATCATTTTTTATACATACCCTATACTCTACTTTATTTATCTTGGATATCTGTTTTAAACTGTGTACATTTTCCCATGTATGCTCGGTGTATACAGTATTTTTGATAAGATAAACCAAACCAATACACAGCTGAAAACAGATAAAATAACAGTAGATAAGGCCAAGAAAAAAAACGCTAAGCAAGGAATTAAGTACTTCTCAGCAGAACAGAGAAGATTAGAAATCAGCTGAAGAAACAATTTCAGCCTACAGAGATATCGAGACATGTTCAGTTCCTCCGGCTCAGACTTTGACCTCTTTTTTTCCAACCTCATGCACCACAGTTCACACCTGTCTTATGTTTCGCTGTAGTGTTTATCACTGAGATTTCCGTCCATCTGACCTGGATAATTTGAGGGAGCAGTCCTGACAGGATTACACGGCAACCTCCGGGGCTAAAAACTGAAGCCAAGGCGGAAGTGCCAAAAACTGCAGTTCTTTGAACGGCCACTTGAGGCTGGTTCCAGACGGCACTCACTCCCCATAGACCCCAATGTTTAAACGCCCAACTTTACAGCAGCAATGAACATGTTTACAGCCTGGGGAAAAAAAATGTTTTGGTCTCTGTAGCTAATTTGAACATTCATGAAAACTGTACAGTGGGTGAAATTTTATGTAATTCACCCGTTTAGATAGACAGTGATCAAAAAACAGAGGGGGCATATCATGTAACAGCAAAGATTTAATAATACAGAATATAATCCAACTTCCTCAAGATAGGATCTTATGAAGCTCAAAAGTCCATTAAGTTCATCAGGCCTGTCATCGACTTGGAGAATTAGAGCAGCTTGTTCCACTGATAGCAAGTCCATAAAGTCCTTACACCAGCTCTCCGCACTGAAACTATTCCATTTACTTTCTTTCCAATTCATTAAGAGGACCAGCTTAGCTGATAAGAAGGCCAGTGTTATAATACTATGTACAACTTCTGGTTATGTAATGGTCATTCTTGCCAAATGTGCATATTAAGGCAGTACAGGAGGAGGTGCACATTAATAATCCTCCACGACTGTAACATGCTCATGTTTAACCCAAACAATGTGTCATGTGACTGCAGTTGGTTCAGATCCAGGTTGGAACACGTTCTCACCACAAACGCACTGCACCAGAGTTCAGTTGTAACTGGACCGAGACCACCTCTTCAACAAGGTCTCCGTGTGGTTGTTTTGCTGTGTTCACACCTGCCCAAACAAACAGCACTTAGGGGGCAAACGAACTTGAGTTTGACTGAACCAAACCAAACCAAACCAAACAGGGCAGGTGTGAAAGCACCCTAAGTCAGATCGACTAGTCTAGTCCAAATACGGTCAATTCTGGCTCCAAGATAATCCAAGATGGCGACAACCAAAATGCCAAACTCGGGGCTTCACAACAGGAGACCACCAACAAATGAGTGACGTCACAGTTGCTACGTCCATTACTTTACACAGTCTGTGGACTAAACTGAGGCAGTGGATGAGCCTGTGACATCAGCACAGTCCAGGCCAAGAGGAAGTGACCACAGCTTGAGATATTCAGAGTAAGACTCACTGTGAGGGAGACATGGCCGACTGCCAGTGCATAGGATTAGCACACACAGAGCAGAGCTAAAGCCAGGAGGACTCAGCGGAGGATTTGCTGCTTTCCTTCTTGAAGCTTACAAAGAGCTTCTGGATCAGTGACAAGGCATTTAAGAGCTTTTTCCCCACCAGGTTAAGGAATAAGTTAATGACAAAAGTTTTTTTGGGTTGAGTCCTCTCAGCTCTCATCCCATCAAAATACACCAAGACACACTTTGAGGTGAATAATTAAACATTAAGCATGTTTATGAGACTGCTAACAGCAGTTATGTAATTAGCAGTTATGTGGACGTAGCTTCGTAGCTTCTGGGCGAAGATATGAGAGGAGTATCCATCTTTGTATCTTTACATGTGTTTTTTTTTATGGTGTGTGCTTTTCATTTCCTCTGGACTTTTATTGTAAGGCAGCAATACTTGTGCCGCTCCTAAGTCGAAGACAAATTTCCCTACAGGGACAATAAAGTATATCGTATGGTAACGTATTGCATTGCGTCGCATTGTATCATACCGTATCGTATCTAACTCTCATCCAAAAAGAGAATTGGTGTATTTCTCCCAAGAATTCCTTTAAATTGCTAGTTTTCGCTTACAAAAGCCAATTTTTTTCAATTTACACTTGCCTAGCAACTGATCAGTAGTAAACTCTTATTTTTTTTTTTCAATTAATTTAAATTCTTAATTAAGTTAAATATATAAAACATTTAAAAAAAAATAGTGAAAAGAGTCCATCAAAAGTTCTATGAGCCCACTGTGTCGTCTTCCTTGTTTGGTCTGACCAACCCCAAAATATGAAATCTATGATGTTATAAAATGGAGGAAAGCAGCAGTCTGTAATCGACTGAGCACCGACACAGTATTGGAATATCCTCACCTGAGTGTGTTTTGCAGCTCTTTCAGGCAGGACACACTCTGAGTGCTGCGAGGTGGCCACTTCTCTCTGTGCGGAGGCTTCGGAGGGGGAGAGGGACTCAGCTTCATCTCCTCCACCTGATGTTGCAGCTCCTCCACCTGCGTCTGCAGCAGCTCCACCGTCTCTGTCAGCCTGAACAGAGAAAACACAGCTTCGTTAGGTAACTCATGAGGGACATTTTAGTCTCAAAGACTTGGAAAGATGTTTCTTACTGCTTTTCTAGAACAGATACAACTCCTGTCTCACCCCTGGATCTTCTGCTGGGCCGTCCTGTTGTCCAGAACTAGTTTGTGGTTGCTGTGCTCCAGTTCTCGAGCCGACACGTCCAGCTGCTCGTACACTTTAGCGTGCTGGTCATTGACCTGCCGGAGGAGGTCCACCTGCTTCGTTAGGTACTGGAGGAGAGACGACAGAGGGACGGGAATGAGGACATGAGTTTAAGTGGATGCTCTGTTTCTATTGAGACCTAACTTTGTGTCAGACAGCCTGTTCTGACTGGGAAGCCATTAACAGCTTCAGTTCCCAATCTATGTTTTCGTCAAAGCCACAAGACTCATTTTCTCACAGTCATTTTGGCTCACCAAACACAGGAGCTGCTGGTCTACTGCTGCATCAATCAGTTAGTCAGTTTGTGTTATTGTGTGACTTTGGTGAATGCGAACTAACCCTCTGAAATGCCAAAGTTACACAATAACACAAACAAAACTACTGCCCGAGGCAGTGGTAGACCAGCATCTCCAGTGTAGCCCTGTGCCCCCCTGCTAGCATGAGGCGGTACCTGCAGCCCAATCAGGCTGCACATGTAGTCCAGCTCAACCAGGATGGCACATCCGTATGTGCAGCCACAAGATGGTTTGCTGTCTCAAGAACATGGAGGAGATACCAGGACACCAGCTGTTACACGAGGAGAGCTGGACAGGGCCGTAGAACAACATCAACCCAGCAGCAGGACCGGTATCTGCTCCTTTGTGTGAGGAGGAACAGGAGGAGCTCTGCCAGAGCCTTACAAAATGACCTCCAGCAGGCTACTGGTGTGCATGTTTCTGACCACACAGTCAGAAACAGACTCCATGAGGGTGGCATGAGGGCCTGACGTCCTCGAGTGGGACCTGTGCTCACAGCCCAGCACCGTGCAGCTCGATTGGCATTCACCAGAGAACACCAGAATTGGCAGGTCTGCCATTGGCGCCCCGTTCTCTTCACAGATGAGAGCAGCTTTACACCGAGCACATGTGACAGGCGTGAAAGAGTCTGGAGACGCTGTGGTGAACGTTATGCTGCCTGTAACATAATCCAGCATGACCGGTTTGGTGGTGGGTCAGTGATGGTCTGGGGAGGCATATCCTTGGAGGGTTGCACAGACCTCCATGTCACAGCCAGCGGTACCGTGACTGCTGTTAGGTACCGGGATGAAATCCTGAGAGCGATTGTCATACTTTACGCTGGTGCAGTGGGCCTTAGGTTCCTCCTGGTGCAGTGGGCCTTAGGTTCCTCCTGGTGCAGTGGGCCCTGGGTTCCTCTTGGTGCAGTGGGCCCTGAGTTCTTCCTGGTGCAACGGGCCCTGGGTTCCTCCTGGTGCAGCAAGCCCTGGGTTCCTCCTGGTGCGGGACAATGCCCGGCCTCATGTGTCCAGAGTGTTTCAGCAGCTCCTGGATGATGAAGGCATTGATGCCATTGACCGGCCCTCTCGTTCCCCTGACCTAAATGCAATGGAGCACCTATGGAACGTTATGTAACGGTGCATCAGATACCACCAAGTACAGACTGTCCCTGATGCTCTGATCTAAGTCTGGGAGGAGATCCCCCTTAACACCATCATGAGTATGCCCAGATGTTGTTGGGAGTGCATACAGGCCTCAGTGGGTTGATGATTTTGGTTTCCATTGACCATTGTTATGTCATTTAATTCCCAACAAATTATATAATGTACATTAGTAAAGACTTTCAACTTGAAAAAGCGCAGCCTTAAAGAAATGTAATGAGAAACTCTGACGTTTGTGTTTCCCATTCACACTTGAACGTCTCTAAACCACTGGCTCCTTTAAGTGACAGTTTCCTTAAGAACAGGTTATCTTATCGGCCTGCGAGGACACTTTGAACCTTTCGTCATCTAATCTGCCTGCTGAAAATCAACAGACAGAAAAAACACTGAACATCAACTTGACAGAGACAACAGACCTGCTGTCAGCATGAGTTAAACATCTAACTACACGGACACACAAACTGTCAAAACGTCAACGAATAAACGTTAATGTGTGTCCAGTATGTTATAGTTTAACGGGTTGATTCTACTTTTAAGGATTTTTTTATGGCTTTATTAATAGATGCCTTTCATTCCCGTAAAGACTGGCGGTAATTAAAGAGACAGATAATGAATTGCAGCACAGGTCATGATCTGAAATCAGACCTGTGACGTCACAAGTATCCAGTCTTAAGAGATTAACTCTGAGTGTCAGCAGAGACGTGTAGGGAGAGATTTAATGCCAAGACGGACCTTACTCAATGAAATTAAAACTGGACCTGAAGTCTGGGAGAACCTGAGCTTTTGCTTTGGTCTCTCTAAACCAAAATAAACCTGTGATGTTACAATTAAATACAGCAGAGGAGATTAAATCAGTGCTTCATGACCACTTCCCCCATCTTATTCACAGTATACTCTGCTTCCTAGATAAAGGTAAGACATGGAGACAGACATTGCTTTACCTCGATCTCCTGCAGTTGCTCCTGGTTGGTGGAGTACATCTGCTGCAGCCCTTGCTCCAGCTCCCTGTTTCGCTCCAGAAGACTCTTCCCCAGCTCGGCAGCCAGCTGCAGGTCTGCAGCAGAGACGGAGTGAGGAACCATCAGTGCTTTGGGTGCTCATAGTTTCGTCTCACTGATGGAGATATGACGACTTTGCTGAACAAGCAGCTTTGTGAGGTTTTGTTGTGGGTTGGCCGGAGTCCAGTAACCCACTTTTTAAAATATGTGCCACAAGGGTTAGCCCCTGTCCTGAGCTGGATATTCAAGATCTTAAAAATGAAGGACTGCTGGGTTTCTTATTATGTATTAACTGACCCGACAGACCACACGCTTCAGTGTGAAAGCATGAAGGAGGTGAATGAAGTCTTCATTTTAGACAGACCTTTTGTTTTTTTCACTTTGCCGCATATCTGAGTGTCCTGCTGACTCCTGTCTTTTCCTGCAGCCTGTCTAGGTGCCTCATTTCCACTAACACAGCTTAAAGACTACACAAAACACCCTAAATTGAAATATTAAATATTATAGGGTCAGAAAATCACATAGAAATCCCCACAAATGTAACATCCTGTGCACCTGCAGGGTTTAATAGTGCTATAGTACTGTGGTACAAATTTTAAACAGCTTTAATATCCATATTTAAGTTATCTGAGTGTGACTAATATAAAAAGATAAATGTGGTTCAGAGACAAAGACTGAGAGGAAACTGTACCATGCTCAAGGTCTTGCTTGTCGTACCACGGTTCCTCCTCCTTGATCTCAAATTCTTGCTCCACGATCATGTCTGTCAGCATCTTCACGGTTTAAAGAGTCAGTCACACAGTCTGAGGATTATTTTTAATCATGACACAATGCTGATGAACGGTTCAGTCCGCGTCCCTCCCGGCGCTGTCTGCACGCCTGCAACCGGCACCGGTGTGTGCTCATCTCAACACAGACACACGGACAGACGGAGGGACAGACGGCTCACCGCTGACGACACTCTGCCGGCTGCGTGAGAGGGTGTGTTTCCGGTTTTGAATTTCAAAATACAAGCAGCTGATGGGACAAACAAATGTCTAGAAATTTGCATAATTCTGGATAAATGCATGACATAAAGCATAAATACCTGCTGCTGTTATTTATCATTATTCTACAGTTTAAGGTCCGTGTCTGTGTCCTTGAGGGCTTTCTGCCAGAAAGACATCCATTAGTTAAGGTTATGAAAAAAAATGGTTTGGGTTAAAATAAATTTCAGAAAGAGGTTTCTTGGAGAAGCCTACAAGGAAAACTTGTAAAAACAAAAAAGGATTATCATTATTATTTGTAGTGGTAGTAGTATTAATTATTTATTTTTTGTTTGATTTTATTGAACAAATTGCACATGTCACACATTAATTTTGTTTTATTTTTATTCAATTTTAATTTTATTGAACAAATTGCACTCATTTATTTTGACAGTAACAATAACCATGGTGCAAAAAAACAAGCCTGGGGGGTTTAGGTTGAATAAACTATATACAATGGCCATATACAATCAGCACACAACTCATAGGTGGAAAATAAGTGTCCCTATTTTTTATCCAGTCCAAAGTCCAAAGATTTACAATGAAACATTATTATTATTATTATTATTATTACTGGTAGTAGTAGTAGGCCATTAGTATTTTTTTTTTGGTTTTGTTTTAATTTTATTGAACAAATTGCACTCATTTATTTTGACAGTAACAATAACCATGGTGAAAAAACCCAGCTAGGGGGTTTAGGTTGAATTAAAAATAAATAAATAAAGAGGAAGTAAAAACTAAAGGCACACTGAAAGCACATCTGTAACAGTACATACTTTTTGAATTACATTTACATACAATCAGCAAGCAACTCATAGGTGGAAAATAAGTGTCTCTCTTTGTTATCCAGTCCAAAGTCCAAAGATTTACAAACAAAATGTCTCCCATGTATAGAGGCGTCCTGAATTATTCTACATGAACCTCCAGTAGCTATAAGTGGATGTAGTTTTTTAGATAAAAATTAACAATTAATATTCATCTTTGATATTAATTGCAGCCCTACAAGACAATGTACACAAACTAGGAACAAGCACAAACTAAAAACGTGCAGAAAAAAAGAGAGAAAATAAACAAACAAATAAATAAATAATGTAAAAATAACTGTGTGGATACATAAAATATAATATAAATTAATAATATAGTAATACCTGTATTCAAATGTCACATGATGTGCCTTCTTCTGTGTGCACAAGTTCGAGTGGAAAACAACACTGCGCATGCTCAGAATTAATTACCTGCTGCCCCGCCGCCATTTGATTGGCTGTTAGCAAAATGCCGTTGTTCTCGTTAGCTAGCAGCTGTTGGAAGTTATTTCCCCCAAAGAAGTGTCAGAGTCTACTTTTTTATAGAAAAACTCGAGTTTACACACCTCGGCGCCCATCAGCCGCGGGATATTGTTATAAACCAAACTTCTGGTAAAGATAATCAGATTTAAAGTGGAGTGGTACTGCGGGAAAATGGCTAACTGCTAGCTTGACAGGGAAGACGTCACGAGGGGTTCATGGTCAAGACTAGAGTGTCTGAGGATTACCCAACATGGCGGCAGCAGGCCAACACTTGTGTAAAGCCACCTTGAGGAGAACAGGTAGGTGGTCACTTAATTAGTGTACCATCTGTGTTAAACTGTGAAATAGCGCTTTATGTTAATTTGTAAAATTGTGTAGTTGTCTGGTTAAAACGCCACATATAGTGAATTAAATCATTTTGTGAATGAATGTTGTCATAACCTAAATGTCAGTGCTCTGGTTTGAAATAAATGTGATTACTTTCTTTTTTCACTTGATTTTTTATTAATAGTTTTGTAATATTTCTATGTCAGTCACATCAGGGTCATAAAATAATTCAGTTATTAATAACTAATGTTTACCCCTCACTTAATATTCACTGTAGCTCTGAATATAATTAATCTTTATGAAGTGTATGTAATGCACTACAGAATCACACTCAAATAGGAAAATACAGCTGGGGTTATGAAAAAGGATAGCCAAACTACAAATCAATAGTAGTGTGTTTTGGTGTATTGTGGTATGTACTGTAGTGTGTGGATTGTGGTCTATGTATTTTATTGTGCCTTCTATGTTTACAGCGTATTGTGGTTGTATGATGTTTTAAACTGTATATTTTAATAACATAGTAGGTCTACATGTAAAGGCCCAACTAGGGACAGGAGTTGTAAATTAGCAATAGCTATAAACTCTCTGTGCAACACATCAGTCCCATACTCTGTATTGGAGCTATGTTAAATTGCATCGTTCCTGTCAAATAAAATGACATTAAAAGAAATAAAATACACAAGTGACAATAACTATCATAAACCATCATGTTCATGACAATAACAAAAAGATGACATTTGCGATATGAAACGGAAAACAGCAAACCTAACAGCAACTACAAACTACTCAGTTCAGCGTGCTGGGAAATGTGGCCGTCGCTACAATAATACCAGCTACCTAAACAAAAACTGCTTGCTTAAATACACATTTTACAGCCTTCATAAATAGTTTATCTGTTGATTGTTATCCCAGTCTAGCATCATCTTTTTGAGTCTTGTACAGAGCCCATTTCCCCCATTTTCTTTCCAGTTATGCTTCTTGTAGATTCAGTATGTGTGTCAATTTCTTCAAAAAGATTTCTTCCACAGCTGTTAGCCACTGGTCCTTCATTGGTCGTGTTTCTTTACTCCAGTTCCTAGTCATAGCTTTCTTGCTTGCTACTAGCAATATTTTGATCAAGTATCTATCACTAGCAATCATTTACATAGATTAAGCCCAAACAACTGTTAGGAACCTCCTATTCTAGAATGTGCTTAAGCTCTTTACATATAATTTCCCAAAATAGTTTTTTTTTGGACATTTTGAAAAACATGAGAGTGGTCTATATCAAGAGACCTGCACTCTCGCCAACATTTCTGCCAACTATGGAGATGTGTTGTTGAGTGTTTTTTTGTCTTTTTAATATACTGCAAATTTTACTTACCTCTCAGATTTTCAAAACTCTTCAGCCCCCCATCCTTTTCCAAATCACACCAAGCTTTTTCCTTTTGCTCCCCATTGCTTACATCCTTATTTTGGAGGTTTGAAATTTCTACCATAAGCTACCCATTTAAAAGTATATGCCTCGTTTTGAATCTTAAACTTTTTCAATACTTCAAACCACAGATCTAATGTGTGCACTGTTGTTGGATGCATATAAAATTTTAGTTCCTTGTATAGTTTATTATCCCCAATCGTACTTTGAATTTGAATTTGATTTGTTTCTTTTTGTTATCTGTCCATTTTGCTTTAAATTCTGTCTTACACCAACATTATACAGGTATGAACTGAGCGGCATAAAAGTACTCCATCAATTTTGGAAGACCCATGCCACCTCTATCTTTGGGTAGCTGGAGAGTTTTACATCTGATACTAGGTCGTTTGCCCCCTAAAACAAATCTAGATTCTGTCCCAACGTATAAGTTGACCTAGTGGGACTTATACTGGTAGAGATTGAAACAGAGAAGTCAGGGTAATATATTCATTTTAACTATCTCAATTCTTGAATTTATGTCCAGTGGTAAGGCAGAGCATCTTGTTATATCCTGTTGTAGTTCTTGTTTTAACTGTTATAATTTGCTCTATACAAATCAGAAATGGTTTCAGTGATCGTCACATCCAAATATTTAATTGATTTTTAGATTCCAGTTAAGGTCATATGATTCCTGGGTCATTTTTGATGGAATATAATTGAATGCTAAGATCTGAGTTTTAGAAATATTTAAAACAATTTGGATTTTTGTGGTTGAGTGATGACCGCTTGTTTCTTTCCCAAAGGTGAGTTCCATGCTTTTATTATGAAGGTTCAACCGCGTGGTTTCCAGTGTAGACCTGCGCCTCTCTGTGAGTTTGAATGTCAGATCACCACACCTGCTCCTCTGTTTGGTTCCTCCCTTGGAAACCGCAGGGTTTTCAGGAGTCTGACCACACGGGGGCGCTGCAGCCATTAAACACTTCTACTGAGATAATTTCACCACAGCAAGAATATCAATGCTGTTACGGAATTTTATTAGGATAATGGTTTCAGTAGGTTATTGATAAGACATTAGTTTTAGCTTAGTTTTCTGTGCTTTGTGTATTATTATTTGCCTGTAATTTAAACAAACTCTGGGCTCTCTGTGGAGTTGTTTTGCATTATGCAGTGTAGAAAGATGGCGTGGAAATATCACAGCAATATGTTCACATAGCGGTAAGGGGCTGACAAAACCATGTAAACAAATGAAAATGAAATAAAAAATAAGTGACTCACCATTACAAAATGTAGCCAAAAAGCAGCACTTTCTCTCTCTTGCACACTCGGGCTGTCATGATTAGTCGACTAATCGATGACTAATCGACTATTAAAATAATCGGTGACTGTTTTAGTAGTCGACTAATTTTGAGTCATTTTTCATGGAAAAGTACTATAAAAGTACCCCAAAATACTCTTACTGCAGCTTCTTACGTTCAGATATTGGCAGCTTTACACATACAATTTTGGGGTTTGGGTGAGACAGACCGACATTTTTCAACATTTTAACACATTTTTCGATGAAATGATTAGTCGACTAATCGAAGAAATAATTGACAGATTAGTCGACAATGAAAATAATCGTTAGTGGCAGCCCTATTGCACACTCCTGCATGTCCATCATACTGTATCCTTATGTCAGTTTCTTTTTCTGATTATGACAGGTCCCTGCGAAATCACTGTGAAGTTTCTTTAACAGTGTACCTACAAACTGGGCACAGATAATTTGACTTATTTGAAACTCTATTATGTTGCTCTGCAAACTCATTTATCAAAGCAGTGATTACCATGTCTTTTTTGTGCAGTCTTTTTTTTTGTTGCTGACAAATGCTGCTGACCAGCATGCAACCTAATATGACTTGATATTTGTATGAGTTTTTGATAATAATCTAGTTACTTAAAAGCCCTTTTTCATGTGGCATTTGCATGATACTGCCTGCTCTTGTGGTCATTTTTGCTGTGATATTTTCAAGGTATATTTGCAAAACGTTCCCAGTCAACTACATTTAGGAATCCAAAAGTTGTTGCCCCAATTTTGCAACAAAAAGCACCCTTTTAGCACCCCTTGTCACATGTTGCAGATGTCCACAGTCAGTGGTTGGACTCCTGCAGATGGCTAAACTGTCAAAACTTAAGAAGCAAAGATTTAAAAGTTAGTGAAAAGAAGCATAAAAAGAAATAAGTTTAAATATGTAAATCAGAAAACTTTAAAATTAAGTACTTAAACTGAATTTGTTTAGTTTTCTGTACACACATCACTTTCACTTCCAGTGATAATATAGATAATTATAATTTATGAGTAAAATAGTTCATGTAATCAGAGATGGAAGGTAACAAAAAAAAAAATCTATTCATTGTGTTTTTATGGTATTTACTCAAGTACTTTCTTTTTATTGTATTTTAATCTTTGTATTAACAGTTTCAACACATTGTATTTGGTGGTCAATACTTCCAGTTTGTATATTAAAAACCCCACAAACTTGAGTAATAGGTGTAATCGTACAAATCCGGACAAAAATAAATAAAATAGACGTGAGTATGAACACACACATGAACACATGCAGGGGTTTGCCTAATTGGTTTTCAGATTTACATTAATTAAAATTACGATTTTACATATTAATTATGATATCATGGAGCTACCATTTAACCACTTTACACTCTATAACAGGTTCTACAGTTGCTATAAATAACAAGCACAAGCAGATTTTCGATCTCACCTCGCTGCTTTTGTTTTTGGTCCTCAGGGTTTGTTTTCTAGAGCTGGTGGCACTTCAACAGGCTGCGTCTCGGTGAAGCCGTTGACTCAGAGCCAGCAGGTCATCACTGTTCAGAGGCATAGACAGTGAAAGGGATGTTTTTTGACTTTTCTTCTGTTGCTGACCCCACCTGACGGTTGCAGTGGGACATCAGAGAAAGAAAGAAAGTGCAACACTGAGTTCCCTCAGACTGGAATAACATGTCAATAGTTGAGTCATCTTTCAGAGAGGGAAAGTTTTTACCTCAAGTAGTCAAGGTGGGCCGGGACAGAGGTGGTGACATACAGAGCGGATGGGATGCTTTGATGATTTTTATTTCTGGAGTAACTGAAAGCTTGGGGCCTTGAATTCTCTAGCAATAAAACATCCTCAAGAGTTAAGGGATTTACTCTTCATGATGATATCCATATGTCAGAATGATCCAAGAGTCTGAAGCATGTATAAGCAAGTCTAAACAAAGTGTGCACTACAGACTGTCCTTATGTTATTTTCTCTTATTTTGAAGTGTGTAGTTTGACATTTTGTTCTTTTAGGAGCAACCAAAAGCACTTAACCACTTGCCTAAGATGCGCAGAACCTTTTAGTTTTTTAAAACCATAACTGCTTAGCCTGTTGGGGGTCGCAGGAGCCTATCCCATTTGGTGAGAGACAGGATACACCCTGGACATGTCACCAGACTATTACAGGGCTGACACACAGAGACAGACAACCATTCACACTCACATTCACACCTACGGACAATTTAGAGCCACCAGTTAACCTGCATGTCTTTGGACTGTGGGAGGAAGCTGGAGTACCTGGAGAAAACCCACGCTGACACGGGCAGAACATGCAAACTCTGCACAGAAGGGCTCCCCCACCCCACGGTTTGAACCAGGAACCCTCTTGCTGTGAGGCAACAATGCTAACCACTGCACCAACGTTTTTTAAACCCTTTCATTTAAAAGCAAGATTTCAATGAAAAGGACTTGTAAGCTGCATTATGAAGATGTGTATTCCCGTCAGTAGGTGGCAGCGTAGTCTCATAGTTTCAACTGAAGCTCTGCATTCCCAACATGAATATCTGTCTTCCATTCAAACAAAGAAGACACTGATTTACAGAAAATTATTAATTTGAGCACATTAAAAGAAACAGGCGTGACATTAACATTATTTTAAAATTGTTTTTATTAAAATTAATGAACATGATCAGAGAGGACGGACCACGGGATGTTGATGCACAGTACAGCTAAGGTTCAGCTTTGATCAGCTGCACAGTCAGATTTCGGTTTCATTATCAGACGCAGGCAGATGAATGCATTCTCCACGGTGGATGTTTTCTCTGAGAAACATCCTGCCAGCTGATGATAAATGATGTGCTGCTCTGGACCCCAGAGGAGGAGGATGAGTGCAGTGTCAACCTCTTCACCCTCTCCTCCCATTGCTTTCTTTATCCCTTAAATTCATGCAAAACAGGCGTCTGTTGAGAAGTACTTGTGGGGGTGTTTATGTGTAATGAGTCATGTGGTTTTACGTTTCCACCTTAATCCATGTGTCTTCTATTCATAGTCAAAAGTATGTGGACCAACATCTGATTATTGAACGTCTAATTTCTAAAATCATTGCCGTTAATCTGCTGCTGTAACAGCCTCTTTTTTATCTGGGAAAGCTTCCTATAAGATTTTGGTACCTGGCAGCAGGGATTTTCTGCCACTGAGCCACAAGAGCATTAGTGAGGTCAGGCACTGATATGAGACCAGGCTTGTAGTCGATGTTCCAGCTCATCCCAAAGGTGTTGGATAGGGTTGAGATCAGGGCTCTGTGCAGGCCAGTGAAGTTCTTTGGCACCTAATTGAGAAAACAAACCATTTTTCATTGTCATGTTGAAACAGGAAAGAGTCCGCCCAAAATGACACATACACATTATATTGGATATTGTTGTATGCCGTAGCATTACTGGAAATTCACCACGATCAACTTACTGTGAGTGGATATCAAAAAAGGGAAATCCAAGGCACTCGTCTTTAAATGTATAGAAAGCCTTTGTTTAAAAAATGGCTGTTTCATATAGAAAAGGTTAAAACATGATGAAAGTGGGTTACAGCCCACAAATTTCAGCACAAAAGCCTTCTTCAGGGTGTAACCCTCAGCACACTAATGCTCCTTACAAAGGATGATTAGGAACACCTGAGTAGGTAGGAGGAGCTCCTTAAATAGGATGATTGGAAACACCTGGGTAGGTAGGAGGACAATAAAAACATGAAAAATAACAGATCATGACCAATAGATGGCTCCACCAATTGTTAAACAATTAAATACAGAGAAAAAGAAAGAAAAAACACTGTATCTGTAATGATAGAAAAAAGTTACAAAAAAGGACTGAAATCAATGTCTTCATTTAGACCTGGATAGATAGTGGCTTTCATTTGGTAAATATAAAAAGTCTCTCTCTGCAAAAGTAATTTGAGTCTGTCACCACCTCTAATGTTTTTTTGAATACTTTCTAGGCCTTCAACCATGAGTGAGCCAGGATTGCTGTCATGTGCTTCATAAAAGTGCTTAGCCATTGGGTAATCAAAGTTTGCTTTTCTAATAGCATACTTATGCTCAGAGACTCTGTCTTTTAAACGTCGCTTAGTGCGGCCTATATAAAAACAACCACAGGTACAGGACAATCGATAGACCACAAACATAGTATTACAGTTAATGAATGACTTGATGTCATAAACCTTGTTAGTGTTAAAGTCACTGAATTGTTTGCATTCTTTGATATTGGCACAATGTTTGCACAAGCCACATTTATAAGTACCCTTCACAGGTCGATGAAGCCAAGTTTTTTTATCTGAAGCAGAGAGATGGCTAGGCACCAGCCTGTCACGTAAAGTGGGGGCCCTTTTAAAACTGATTTGAGGAGGAACAGGAAAAACCTCTCTGAGCAGAGGGTCACTCTTGATTAAACTCCAATTAGAATGCACAATCTTTTTTACAGAGTTTGCAAAAGAACTATATTGTGTGACAAAGTAAATTTGCTCTGGTTTTGAAAATTTTTGTTTATTTGTCATCAAGAGCTCAGATCTAGGTATAGATTGGGCTTTTTTGTAAGCACTCTGAACAATCTTAGCCTCGTAGCCTCTATTTGCAAATCTGTTTGACATAATTTTTGCCTGATTTTCAAATTCGGAGTCAGTGTCACAAATACGTCACAGACGTTGAAATTGTCCAAAAGGTGTATTGTCCTTCAGCCACTTAGGGTGGAAACTGTCAGCCCTTAATACTGTATTTTTATCTGTTGTTTTTCGATATACTGTGGTATGCAATTTGCCACACTCACCTTTGGAGATGGTCAAATCCAAAAAATTAATGCTGTTTTGAGAGTATTCAATGCACAGTTTTATGTTTCTGTTGTTAGTGTTCAAAAAATCATAAAACAGTAAGAGTTCCTCCTCAGAACCTGTCCAAAACAACAAAATGTCATCAATATACCTCCCCCACCATTTTATCTTGTCATTATATCTGGTGTGAACGACTTCTTTTTCCCATAGTCCCAAAAAAAGAGAGGCATAATTAGGAGAAAAACGGGCCCCCATAGCAGTACCTCTATCTTGAATATACAATTGATTTTGGAAGAGGAATACATTATTTTTAAGAATCAATTCAGTGAGCTGTAGAATGAATTCAGAAGGAGGCAAAGAGTCCATAGGCCTGCTCTGTAGAAAATATTCTAGAGCATTTAGTCCATCATCAATGTTAATGTTGGTATACAAGGACTCTACATCTAAAGTTACCAAAAAACAATCAGGAGGAATTCTCATTTCATGAAGTACCTTTAAAACATGAGTAGTGTCCTGAATATATGAGGGCAAATGTTGGGCGAAAGGCTTGATATGAAAGTCCACAAATTGAGAAGCAGGCTCTGTAAGGGATGCATTGGGTGATATAATAGGCCTCCCTGGAGGAGATTCAAGATTTTTATGAACCTTAGGGAACATGTAAACCACAAGAAATCATGCTCCTGCTTGGAAATCCAACCTGATATGAGACCAGGCTTGTAGTCGATGTTCCAGCTCATCCCAAAGGTGTTGGATAGGGTTGAGATCAGGGCTCTGTGCAAGCCAGTGAAGTTCTTTGGCACCTAATTGAGAAAACAAACCATTTTTCATTGTCATGTTGAAACAGGAAAGAGTCTGCCCAAAATGACACATACACATTATATTGGATATTGTTGTATGCCGTAGCATTACTGGAAATTCACCACGATCAACTTACTGTGAGTGGAACTGGAATCCCACACATTTCTTTCAGCGCATTTTGCCTCCATGGGGAGCTGCTATCTGTCTGATTGCTTGGGTTTAGCGCCAGTGCATCATTTCATGCTGCGTTCCTATTGCTTGGTTAGTAGACATAGGTGGTAACAGCAGTCACACAGTAAGATGGTCATCCTTCGGCTATAGGGTATATACTTACGATACAGAAGTCTCCTATAAAGTATACAGGGATGCTCTTTCGAAATATTTACCACAACAAAAATTTATTAAAAAGCCATTTGAGCATTTTATCCTCAGACAGCCAAAACCAACCAGGGTTTTGTATTTGTATTTTTTTCAGTTGACTGCTTAGGTACACTAAACTATAAAATACCTAATTAAATTTGCCCTCAGCGACACCAAGATCAGATAAATATTGCTCTTTGTGCTGCCAAAGAGCCTCAGTTGCCAGGGGCAAGGTACCAGCTCCTAACTGAGGACACAGGGACCTTTGTCCTCCCTCTAAATTATAACACATTGTTCTATGTTGTGTCCTTTGATTTGGCTGTATTTTGAAGGACTTAACAACGAATACTCAGCTGGAACTTGAGATTTGTGGCCTTCACTAATAGCATTTTAGCCATGCCAGCAGAGTGCCTCTAATTTTGTCCAGTCTGTATTTCATGGCAGGTATTACTGTATACCGGGGTATTTAGAAATCCTGAAGGTATGACTTCAAATATTGTCAAAAATACAAATGCTCCTCCTTCTATTAAACTGATATGGAGATGCTGTATTAAGGCAATGTATTGTAGCACAGTGTATGCCACCAGAGGTCAGTCTCTACTAGGCTTGTCACAGTACCAGAATTTCAGTTGTTGATACCACTACCAGTGAATTTCCATGATTCTCGATACTCATTCGATACCACGATAAAAATAAAAAAACAGAAATCATGTATTTCTAAATTCACTATTTTATTAGGGTTAGTTACAACGTAAGGTAGCGAGTACTAGTAGCCACCCCTATAAACGTAGTAAGCTGGCTCTCAAACCCAAATAATGTATATTTCAGGATAAGCAGGCTACAACATGGTAAATTGAAACTCATTCACCTTGAATTCTTTAAACAAGTCAGGGTGTCTGTCTTTTAAGTGTTTAGCCAGGTTTGAAGTGTTTCTTCTTTTGGTTGAGTTTATAATTACTCTGCTTTCGTCTGCCTCAAATGCAAAATATCTCCACACACAACTCCTACTACCTGACTTTTAGACAAGCCGAGGTGGTGTTGCTCCAGCAGCACTTGTAGAAGCCATTGTTTCTTGGAAAGACGATGGAGAACAGGCGTTCTTCTTCGGCGCTCGTCCTTGGCACAGACTGACGCGCATATAGTGCCTCCGTCAGTTCCGACAGGAATCGACACGGCCCGCTGAGGCCAAAGTTATATCCGGTACTTATGATACCGAAAAAAAAAAACAGGTACTGACGTATTTTTTGTGTATTGGCATCGACTTGGTACCGAAGTATCGGTTCTCATGACAACCCTAGTTTCTACTGGTGGGACAGGCAGCTGAGCTGAGAAAGATGGCAACTGCAAGTGGTGGGGATAACGTTACAGGACTGGTAAAAAAAGAAAAATGCCTTTCCCCTGTTGGGGAGTATTGCCACATATAACTGCATCTTGAGATTACTTTTTTTTTTTTAAATTACAAAAGCAGTTTATTAGCCACATGATTTTATTCAACACATCATCAGTGTTCAGCACACCGATGTGTCGGTATCCGCCACGGCAGTATGTCATCAGGTCCTCCAGCAAGAAGGACACTTAAGCACCCTTTCCACCACACTTTCGGTATGGTACCTTTGGAACCAGCAAGACTTTGCTAAGTAGGCTAATGGCTTATAAGAAACACAGCATTGCAGGCTAGACAATGTCGTACATGCTACAATGACTTCTATCACCAGTAGCTCAGCTTTTAAAAACACAAATGCCGTCATATACAGTATACCCTAGTGAAATGTCAGGATGGTAAGGTAAGACTGACCTCTAGTGGCAGGTGTTGTGCGCTACATCACCTCAATACAGCATCTCCATATGAGTTTATTAGACATTGTAGTGTCTGTACTTTTGACAGTATTAAAAATCATACCGTCTGGATTTCTAAATACCCTGGTATATTGATGCCACCCAAGGCTAATACTCTTTAGCCTCAGGTGTACTCTGTATGTTTAGCGTTAATGTTAGCATGCTAACACGCTAAATTAGGGCCTTTTTTTCCTCTCAGCAACGGCATCTTTTTTTTCCCATTGTTTCCAATGAGGAGAAAGAACATGCTGCCTTCTACAGAAAAACTGCCTCACCTAGCGGCTTTTTTCAGAGCACTCTGGCTTTTTCGAGTGGCTGCTCCGAGTGCTTCTAGTTGAAAATCTCTGACGTTTGCAGTAAGGTGCTGGTGATGTCACTGCAGCTCCTTCAGCTGGGCTACTGTAACGACAAACACAGAAAAGCCCATTTCAGTCAGACAACTCACGTTTTAAATGTTTATTTCAACAGCAGAACATAGTTAGAGTTTGGCGTCTAGGCTCCGGCCTAATCGCTCCCCGCAGATATGTTTACATGAGATACTGGGGAGTGATAATTAAATATTCCCCCCTATCCGGAGCCTGCAGACAGATGCTGAAAGAATATTTTACCAAAAAATGCTACGTGGACACACACCCTACGATGGTGAATCTGATACCTGCTAAACATTTGCATGTTAGTATCATCATCATTGTGAGCATGTTATCCTGAAGACGTTAGCATTTAGCTCAAAGTGCTGTCATGCCAAAGCCTCAGCGAGGTAGTTCTGCAGTCAAAATGAGGTTTGGAGACATTTTTACATGGAAGCTTAAAAAGCCTTAAGACAATAAAGATAAAAAAAGACAGT